CCGACGGCGATAGGAGGATAGCTTTCAACAGACATGCTTCTTGTGTACTGGTAGTGTTGACAGAAGAGAATGGGGACGGTGAGAGATGGTGGATAGTTATATGTATCCAGTCCAGAAACATGTGAGGAATCCGGGACCCGGGCCGGTTGCCGCCGCGGAATCTGGGGGCCCGATCTCGCCGGTGCCTCCCGGGTTCGACTTGGACCGTGAGACGTGCACCAGGAGATGTCGATTGACCGGTTCATCTATTCTCTTGCACTGGATGCACATAGCAGTATGGCCAAGAAACACTTGATACTTCTCGGAACGCACGGGAGCGAGATACATTCGGTGGTATTCGATGACGAGGAAAAGACTCTGAAGAGGGGCGTGTCCACAGAGACGGGCAAGCAGCCCAGCTGGCTCATCAGACACCCGGACCCGTCAGTATACTCCTAACAACGTGTGTACAAGCTAAAGAAGTGAAAGGCAGCTGCGAGATCGGGTGTATGCAAATCAATGGGTCCATGGCAAGATACGCGTGTATCGACTGGTGGATGATCAAGGGCAGTTGGAACTGTTGGGAGAGGCGGAGAGTGGTGGAGAGGGGCCTACGCACATGGCGATACTAAAGGATGCATCTCACATCGTTATTGCGCATGTGAGTCCCACGAAATATGGTGATGAGAAGGTGACCGGCCACAGTATGTTTCGGGGAACGTGACGCTGCTCCCACTTTCTCCTGATGGGCTCTTTGCCGAGCTCAAGCCATCACACTCTTGGACCCCACCTCACGCTCCACAGAAGCATCATCGACAACAATCCTCTCACGTGCACCAAATTGTACTGTTTGAGGACGAGATCATTGTCCCAGATTTGGGGTCCAATGTGGTGTGGAGGCTGAAATGGGATGGGCAAGAGATTCAGCTGAAGGGAGAGATTGGAGGATTTGAAGAAGGAGATGGCCCGAGGCATTGTGTGATACATCCCGACGGTGAGCCGCCCTTCCAGTCTTTGCTCCGTACTGATAGCGAAGCAGGTCGTCATATCTATGTCCTAAGCGAGATATCATCCCACCTCACCGTCCACGCATTGTCAGCTGCCGGTCCTCCAGTCAAGCGATTCAGCCTCTTGCCCCCCGGAGATGACGGTGCTCCGAGACCGACGGGAGCTTCAGAGATTGTACTGCTTCCTGCCTTGAGCGCAAATGGTTCTCTGTTGCTGATAGCTTCCAACCGAGATTCGCCGGTCTCCGAGAACGATACGCTCGCCCTATTCTCGGTATCGCTAACGCAGGGTGATCTCATTGCCAGGACGGAAGAAGGATGGGTCAAGGGGCTAGGCAGGCATCTGAGAGGTGTGAGCAGTGATCCGAGTGGGCGGTGGGTGGTGGTGCTCGGCAGAGACGCGGGCGGGGTCGAGGTTCTTGAGAGGGCGGGTGAGGACGGGCTTGCACTGAAGGAGGTTGCGCATATGGAGGTAGATAATGCAGTGGCCCCTCTCTGGGTGTATAGTACGTAAGTATGCATCGATGCGAAGAGAGGGAATGTGGAGGCGGCCATTGGCCCGACAAGTTCGGAAAGCCGCTCTGATCGGCGGCGGCGGTGTCCACGGTATCGGGATCCTTATCTCTGCGGTATATATGTCCCATTCGCATCGCCACTTGCTCAATTCCCCACAGCCACGATGGTCAACACCTCCAGCCCCACCCACTTCTCCTACAAGCCCGTGCCCCTCCCTCCCACCGCCAGTCCGGACATGTTCCAGGACTTTGGCAGGCAGGTCGAGGGCTTCGACCCGGACACCGTCACGGACGACCAGATGGACGAGATCATCGACCAGCTCTACAAGGTGCGTTATGTCTTAGTATGGCACATGGCAATGACTTCTCACTGACACTCCCCAGCACTCCATCCTCCTCTTCAAGAACCTCACCCTCACTCCCGCCCAGCAATACGCCATGACTCTCGCCTTCGACCCCGCCGCCCAGTCCTACGGACACGGCAACAACAAGACTGGCAACACCAAGTCTTCCATCCTTCACCCCGATCTCAAGACCATCCCGCATCAGCCGCAGGTGCAGTTGATCGGAAACGGAAAGGTGCAGGGTGTACATGAGGGGCTTGATTCTGTAAGTCGTGTTGAGGAAAGATGGGTCGGAAAGCAGCTGACTCTGTGGGATAGCCTCAGCTGAAGCACCCGCATCACAAGACATTCCACAAGACACCTGTCTCTCAGGAAGACGAGGACAAGGGCATCACCCGCTTCTACCGATGGTCAGTTCTTCTTCCCTACCCAGGAATCTCACTGACACTAGGCAGGCACATTGACGCTGCTCTCTACAACCTGAACCCTCCCAAGGTCACCACCCTCTACGCCGTCAAGGTTCCCCAGGGCGAGCTTCAGACTTGTCGTTACGACGACGGCACCGGAGACGAGCTCCCCGTCCCTCTTGGTGGTACTGCCTGTACGTCCCTTCCCCTCCCTACTGGCCCCTGGCTGATTTCTGTTGGTAGTCGTCAGCGGAAAGAACATGTTTGACATTCTCTCTCCCGAACAGAAATCCCTCGCCGTCCGTACCAAGGTCGAATACGCCCCCCACCCTTACATCTGGATGTCCAAAGCCCACGCTCGCCCCACGGGTTTGGGTATCGAGAATGAAGGACTCGAGCTGCCCCTGGACGAGCTGCCAGAGTGGGAAGAGAGTAAAGTCAAAAAGTTCCCTGTTGTATGTCAACCCTATCCCGAGGAGAATGATAGCTGACGATAAACAGTGCTGGAAGAACCCGGTCACCGGCAAGCTCCACGTCCAGGTCCACCCCTGCGGCGCCTACAAACTCCACATCTCCCCCTGCCCCTCTCCCTCCTCTTCCACCCTCTACCCCGAAGGCGGCGTCATCGAAGACCTCGCCACCGTCCGCTCCGTCCTCTACGATCTCCAACGCCCCGGTATCGCCCCTCCCCTTGTCTACTCTCAAAACTGGCAAGAAGGTGACCTTGTGTTGTTCCACAATAGGGGACTGTTGCACAGTGTGATGGGGGCTTTCAAGGAGGATCAGGTTAGGATGTTCCACCAGTGCAATTTGGCGGCTAGTGAGGAACCGGTGGGGCCTGATGGGGAGGATTTGAAAACTTGGGCTTGATGTTGAGTGATGTTATTTTGGGTTTCTATAGGTTGTCAGTCTTGGTCCACAGCGTCAATTCATGTATCAAAGTATGATTTCAAATAGAGTCTTAAAACTCCAGCTTGAATGGCTTCGCAGATAGGCAACCCACAGACAGACCTGGAAGGATGCATTCTGCTAATTGAACAACCGAGCCCGAGAAGCTCCTCGATAGTAGCATTATTTTTTGATGATATTCGAACCCAACTTCACCCAGCCAAGACGGTATCAGAGCTTTATGTCAGCTCGGCAACGTTCATGGGCATTTCGTCAATTTCTGCATCAATCATCAGCACCTTTCCAACCAACGCTCTCAGAACACTCACGCGTAGAGTAGTACTGCTCAATATCTCTCAAGATCCTCACGTCATCCACAGTCACAAAGTTGATAGCCACACCCTTCCTGCCGAAACGACCAGATCGACCGATTCGGTGGAGGTAGTTTTCACGGGAAGAGGGGAGGTCGTAGTTGATGACGAGAGAAACTTGTTGAACGTCGATACCACGGGCCCAGACATCGGTAGTGATGAGGACTCGGCTGAAAGAGTGTTTAATGGAAAGCAGGGGAGGGAGGAAAGGGGGCGTACCTAGAGCCGGACCGGAACTCGTTCATGATCGCATCTCGCTCCTTCTGCACCATCTCACCGTGCATACTGCTGACAGTAAAGTTGGCCTCCCTCATCTTCTCAGTCAACCAATCCACCTTTCTTCTCGTGTTACAGAAAATGACAGCTTGTGTGATTGTCAAGGTATCGTACAAATCACAAAGCGTGTCAAACTTCCAGTCCTCCTTCTCGACAGCAACAAAGAATTGCTTGATCCCTTCGAGCGTCAACTCATCACGCTTGACGAGGATTCTGATGGGGTCGGTCATGAATTTGGTGGTCATCTCGAGGACATCGTGGGGGAGGGTGGCGGAGACGACGACGACTTGGGTGGCGGGAGGAAGGTAACGGTAGATGTCGTAGATCTGGTCCTTGAAACCCTTGTTCAAGAGCTCATCAGACTCATCAAGGATGAGCATCTTGATGTCCTTGGTACGGAGGTTTCGCCTTCGGATCATGTCAAAGACACGACCAGGAGTACCACTGACGACCTGCTGACCAGCCTCAAGCTTCCTAATGTCCTCTCCGACACTGGTACCACCGATACAGGCGTGACAAGACACGTTCAAGTGGTCGCCCAACGCCAAGACGACAGTCTGGATCTGGATGGCCAACTCTCGGGTGGGAGAGAGGACCAAAGCCTGGGTTTCGCGCAGGTTGGTGTCGATGGACTGAAGCATCGAGATGGAGAATGTGGCGGTTTTACCGGTACCGGATTGAGCCTGAGCAATGACGTCGCGGCCGCTCATGATGGGGCGGATAGCTCGCTGCTGAATGGCGGACGGTTTCTCAAAGTTGTAAGCGTAAATGCCTCGAAGGAGGTCTTCCTTCAAGTTAAGGTCTTCGACTGGAGGATAGTCAGTATGAGTAAGTGTATGCCTGTGGGTTACTCACAGCTGGTAGCCTAAAGTCGAGAGGAACAAAAGTGTCCGTAATGAGCACCTCTGCACCTCCCGATGAATCATTGTATACGTACGACAGAGACCTTCTCTGAAGACTCAAAGACGAGCTTGTCGTCGCCACTGTGCTGGGTCAGCGTGAGTTTAGTATGTCCTGTGGTATACGCACGTGTTGATGCCAGCCATGGTGTTTTGTGTTTCTGAGGTGTAGGTCAAGATAAACAGCGCAGAATGATAGAGAAGAGTAGTGCCCGCTCGACGGATGTCGCCGAAAATTTCCGAGTGTGGCCCTCCGCTCATCTCCTCTTGCATTCGCGTATTTCTCCCATCCACCATAAAACAGCCCATCCAACATGGACTCCATCGTCGAAACACAACGCCAGACCCACGAGGAGATCGAGCGGTATGAGCAAGCCTTGGCCGAGGTGCTCATGCAGAACCCAACAGCCGTAAGTCACTAGCTTCGTCAAGAAGCGTCCGCTGATATGTTGTGGCAGACCAAAAATGTAACTAGGAGAGACCGAAAGGCTGCAGAAATACTAGACCGTATAGGGACACTGCGAAAGGAGCTTGTCGACATGTACGAGGACATCCCTGGGTGCGTCTTGTCCTTGCCGGTGGAAAGAACAAGCTGATACTTGCATCAGGCTACGACCCAAGGAGCTTGCCCTTCTCTCAGCCCCCGGAGCAGGACAGGACGACCTCGAAGAGTTTTATCTGCGTTTCAACAAGATCAAGGACTTTCACGGGCGGAATCCGGGCATCAATGCGCGACAATTCCTTAATGAAGTGGATGAGCTGGTCAAGGGCGATGGTGTGCAATTGATCGAGGTGGAAGGCGATGAGGAGCCTACTGTCATCGACCGTGAGCCGAACGTCCCTCTTGTTCCTCTTCATAGCTGACATGGATACAGCCCTCGATTCTATCTTCTCCGGTGAAGAAGCCTACGGCAAACACCTCGATCTTTACCTCTCCCACTCTCAATACCTCAACTTGAAAGGCTCCACACGTCTCTCCTACGTCGCCTACCTCGACATGCTCAAACACGGCAAAGTCGAGCGTACCCTCGACACTAAAGAGAAATCCAACGCCGCCTACCTCGAATACGTCCAAACGCTGTACAACTACCTTCTCTCCTTCTTTGAGCGGGCTTTACCGCTGGTCGATGTACGAGGGAAGGTCAAGGAAGCGGAGGCGAGCTTTGAGGCTGCATGGGAGGCGGGACAGGTGGAGGGATGGGAGTCGTCTGGTGCGAAGAAGCAAGAGAATGGTGGAGAAGGGATCTGGTGTCAGTACTGCCAAAAGAATTATTCCAAGCAGACAGTATACGACGCCCATCTTTACTCCAAGGGTCACAAGAAGAAGGCTGCCGAAGGGGCTGGTTCTACAGCATCTCCCGCGCCTGCGGGACCTACAACCACCACTTCCCAAACTTCCAAATCCAAACTCCCCGCCCGACTCACTTCCCTCATCATCGCTCTCCTCACCTTCCCGCCCATACCCAGACTCTTGAGCGACTCGAGGAACGAGGTGGAGCGAAAGATGGCGTTGACGTCGAGAGAGAGGGAGCAGGAAATCGAAGAGCAGGAAGAGGGTCAGCAAGTGGAGGAGGTCGAGCTCGGAAACGATTCGGATGAAGAAGATGACGACGGAAAGGTGTACAATCCCCTCAAGCTTCCTCTTGGTCAGTCTATCCCCAACTTCCTTAGATCAGTGACTAACAATGTGTAGGTTGGGATGGCAAGCCTATTCCTTTCTGGCTGTACAAGCTGCACGGTCTCGGTGTCGAGTTCAAGTGTGAAATCTGCTCCAATGCGTCGTACAACGGCCGAAAAGCCTTTGAAAAGCACTTTACAGAGTCCAAGCATGCTTTCGGTCTTCGTGCGCTCGGTCTGCCGCCGTCCAAACATTTCATGTACATCACCAAGATCTCTGATGCCATGTCTCGTACGTCCATTGCCACTTACTTGGTCGGGTTTTGTGCTGACTCGATTGTAGTGGCGGAAAAGCTGAAGCGTGAAGGCAGACAAGAGCTCTCAGCGATGGACAAGGCGGAAGAGTTTGAGGATGATGAAGGGAATGTGTACGATAAGAAGACGTACGAGCAGTTGCAACGACAGGGTCTTATCTAGAAGAGTTGAGACAAACGGGGGTAACGTGGTATTGGAGGACCATAATGGATGTAGACATCAGTGCCGAACTCCCTGGGTAATCATTTCTCTCATGCTATCATACGTGCGCCAAGACTTCACGCGGCGAGCAAGCTGATCAGCGAGGAGTTGATGCATAAGTCTTACAGATGCTGTCTATCAAGTAAAGATCATAAATATACACATGTTGAAAATGAAAACTGGTTCCTACTGCTGCTGCAAAGAAACGACAGAATTGAGAAGGTGGAATGGGTGAAATGCGGGTTCTGGGAGAGCAGCGAAAGGTTTCGCTACCCAAGGCGACGACTGTCGCTGGCCGCCCGTCGGCCTGGCGGATCGTCGGTCGCAGACCTCATCCGAGGCGCTTGAGTAGTCGTATTTGAGCCTTCCATATGCCCAAATGGCCATTCCCTCCCTCACAACACCATCCCAACATCTTCGTCCATACGTGGCACGTGTCCATTCCCTTCCTTGTCCCCATTCGTCCCACTCGCCGACGCTCCCGCTACGGGCCCAGTATCCTCCGCCTGAAGCTCCATGTCCATATCGACCGGTGGTTGCCATATACGCCTAAACCTCATTAGCTTTCGCATTTAAAAGAGGACTCGAGCGTACACTGTCTTGTCATCGCTGCAACTGGCAAATATCCTTCGTGAAGCTACAGGGTTCCAAGCAACAGAGTTGACGACGCTGGTATGCCCCGCGAGCACTTCGGTCGGTTGGGATGACGAGCCATGCCAAACATAAACGTGACCGTCTTCGAAAGCCCATCAGCGACCATCATCATAGGAGATGTATCTGCTTACCTTCACTCCCGCTGAGGACGAACTGATCTTTCTTGCCGCCATAGCAACTCCGTATAAGGAAATTTGTCTGAATATGGCCGGAATGGCCGCGGAGGTATCGCAAACCGTTGTGGGTATTCCATTCTTGAACCTCCTGCCGCGCGACGTGAGTAAATTGATGACCGATAATGAGATGAGAAGAGATGGTGCCACTTACATCCGGACTACAGCTGACCAGCGCTCTCTTACCGTCACTGGTAAGCCTGATACTAGTCATCTCACACCTCAAATCTTGAGACCAGCTAATCGATAGCATAAGCAATGTTGGCCGGTATGGACCAGAGCACTTACTCAATGATCTCGTGATCCTCAACTCTGACCATCACTAAACTATGCTCCATGGTCGCAAACGCAAAGTCTGCTCCTCCTAGGCTACTCAACCTCGTCCCTCCCACAGCGCCACCAAGCCCTATGGTTCCCGTAGACCCACCCCCGCTAGCACCAACACCCGAATTCCCACTGCTCCCACCCGGGGCAGTAGTGTTTGTCGCATTAGGCCCTGTTGCCGGTCTCGCCGACATGGCTGCACTTCGCAACCCTTCATTATTTGCGACACGTTTCAATGGGGTGGTGATGGCTACGATGCGGGACCCGTCTGGTGTGAGGGCAAAGTCGTTGAATTGGAGAGGAAAGGTAGACCACTGGCGGAGAAGCATGCCTTTGCGATTCTGATAGCAAGTCAGTGCTCCGATCAGGACAGATGAGGCGAAGGATACGCACGTAAAATATAATACGGCAGTCCATGGACGCCACCAAGAATTCGGAGCCGCTTGGCATCCACTGGATGGCGCTGATAGTATCGGTGTGATGAAGACCAGGCGTCTGCAAAGCAATCTCTTCACCCGTCTGCACAACAAGTCAGCCAATCGACCTCTTTGGGAGACCATGACTCACTTCAGTGTCCCAAAGATGCACCATCTTGTCTGCGCCCGTGGCCAGTAGCTTCCCATCAGGCGCCCACGCCATCGCATCGATTGGATCCTTATGATTCCTGAAATGATGCAATGGCGCTACTGCGTACCTCTCCGTCCCGTCCAGTCCCGCCACCGGTAAAACCGACCATATATGCACAACCTTGTCTTTTCCAGCGCTCGCGAGCTTTGACCCATCAGGGTTCCACTCGATCCGCCAGACTTCGTCAGAGTGGTCAATGAGAATGTGGGTGGTGACGGAGGGGAATTGATCTTGACGGTCTTCATAGTCGGTGTAGAGAGAGTTGGTGGTGGGGCCGTCGATGTAGGGTGAGTTGGATTGTTGGAATTGGCGTGCTTGGTCAAAGAGAGTTGCGAGACGCCGGGATGGGACTATGAGTGACGGGGAAATGAATGCTTCCAAGATATCAGCATTGTGGATTACGAGACCGTGGGGCCATTACCTTCAAGATGTTCCAACAGTTGCCGCCTGGAGATACCGGCCGCCCCGTCCCAGGACGCTCTTTCGTACAAGTCCTCCTTGTCGAGACACATCATGAACCCAGACAATGTATGCAGAACATTCTGATCTTTGGCCACCTTTGCCAGCTCCCCTCGCAAGACTCCCAAAGCCTTCTTCTGCTGGCCCAGTTCGAGATACTCGAGATACTTTTGTTGGGCGATCAGGTATCGAGCCTGATCGGAGGGAGTAGCTGTATCTTTACTCGAGAACATACTGGCCGACTCGGAAGCAGCACCGAAGGCAGCTGAAGCGGGAATACCAAGCTCGGGAAGGAGAGCAAGCGCTTCAGCCCACCGACCTCCCAGGATAGCTTGTTGGAAGTCCGATCCAGCCCTCGTGGAGAGCTTGTACCCGGACTCGGCCTCCAGAACATCTGCTGATTGACTAGGCGTTGAGAGTCAGCGACGGTGTAGGATACTCGCATCTACTCACTGATAACCGACATCTCGAAGCCCCTGCAACATTATTCGCACTGCTTCCTCTCTATCGACAGGCATGCGCTTTCCGCCCCCAACGCCCGGTCGAACGTCCGCTCCTGCAGCCAGCTTCCCCTTGCCCTTGATTGAAGTAGCATCATCTTCCATATCTGCGTCTTCTCCGCCGGCATACGCTTCTCGCGCTTCGGCCCAATCCTTGTCATCTTCATACATGAGACTGCCTGGCAGCCGAACCGGAGCGACAATTGAGAGGAGAGAAGAGGTCGCTGTTACTGTCTGAGCTGCGTGTCCATTGGCAGACGTCGAGGCCTCGGCGGGAGGACCAGAGTGGATTGGCTGGCCCATGTCTTGGGACATGGAAGCAGAAAGGACGTGTGGTGGTTTGAACTGTACGGGAGAAGCCGCCGACTGCCTTTTGCGCTGTTTCGGTCGGGAGCTGTCCTCGTCTTGTCCAGGAGAGCGTGGTCTGACAGTACCCCTTTGTACAGGAAACGGCGAATCGACGGCGTGGGGGAGTGGGGGTTGATTGGGTATGGTGGGTGGGGGGAGGGCTGTAGGGGCTTGAGGGTCGTGTGTTTCGGAGCCTGTGGGCAGTGACTGCGGGGTGATCTGCAGGCGTGCTGATGTTGTCAGCGGATAGTGAACGTCCAGCGAGATCGTCATTCGCGCGTCCTGCCTAGAGCTGATAGGCGCAATTTGATCCCGTCTCTCCAGCCCGTCGGCCCAGGACACCAACCTTTGCACCAACCTCTCTCTTCTCTAGACTCAACACCATGTTCCCCTTGCACGTGTTCAGAGCTATCAGGCCTCGAGATCTCCGCGGCTCCGACCGTCAGGTTTAGAATCTGACATCATGGCCCGCCCCTTGAATCGTCTCTAAGAAGGGCAGGATTCTTCAAAGGCGCGGACGGGCTGGCCAGCGTTTCGATGAAGTAGAACTGAACATCCCGAGAAGAAGCATATGCGAGCAGCTCTGGGTTACCAAAAACAAGAACGACAGCTAAAGATGGGTAAATGGAGCCTGGGTCCTGAGAGGCCAACGTAATCATCCGCACAATAGCGCGCGCGGTTGGATGAAAGCCACCGAGCTTGCGACAAGGGAAGAATAGGCCTGAGAAACAAAAAGGTCACGAGAATATGGTAAGTGTACTGTGGAAGCAGATGAAGTACGGACAGTCAATTTGTCCAGTAGAGTCTTCCACCGATGAAATACCTACCCGCCACATCGATCTCCTTAGCCACTCCTGCCTTACGTCCTCGTCTACTTTCGCCCCACAGCACCTTCAGATGGCATTACCCACTTGTCCATCTCACCCGGTCGGAGGGGTCTGACCAGCTGCTGCTGAGAATTTGAAGTAGTTCAGTCCCTGAAGAGCAACTGTCAGCTCCTGTTGATGCGAGTGGCGAACGAGCTGAGAGGTAAGACGTGGGAGCAAACGTGCAACCAAGGGAAAGCAAGGGCTATAGCATGCCATTGATACTCTCAGTCGTGCATACAGGTATCAGGCCGGTGCATTGGAAGGACAAGTGTATGAGCAATTGTGCATATGCTTAACAAATGACATGTCGTTATTAGATGTTTCTGATGGTACAACAATACTGACGGCCTCGATAGCTGTTTGATTGACCCCTCAGTATCCCACACCTACAATGCTTCTCTTGATACCGACATGCGATAGTGTGCTGAGTACGCTGAGCGTTGTTGCATGATCTTGAGAGATGTGTGGGTCAATCCGCGCGCGGCGACCATCTATCTGCTTGCTCACTTCCTTTTATCTCTGTCATACGTATGGGCCAGTCGTGTCGTTATATAGAACCGCATAGCCTACATGAAATGATTATTCATAGCGCCAGCACGACAGGTCGAATATCTCACACTGCAAGCTAGGGTATACCGAAAGAATGAGCGCTGGAGCAAGGCATGGGTAGTCATTGCACGGCACAGATCTGAGCGTATGATGCCAGGAGACAATGTAACCACAGGCTGGCTCAAATATGCTGCATGGCATCAAGAGGACCAGTATGATGCCACTTGTGCCGACGCAGAGGCTGCGCGCCCCGACATCGACATGGCTCGACAGGAGAGGAATCAGGAGGAGGTTCATTCAACGACGTCAATTGGACAAGCCCTCGGCCGGCCGAGGATGGCCTCTTTTCAGTCTTTGGCCTCTTCGGATAATTGAGCAACCTCTCATTTATCACTCAACGCGCCCACGCGCCTGGCCATCGATTTCCTCGGATAGATCGGAAAAGACATGCAGACCCCAGTACGGGTACCCCTTTGCTGAGGCCAAGCCTGTCCCTTGTCACGCTCTCCAGCCTCCAGACCATCTGACAGCCCGACTATCAATTGTCATTCGTCCACCGAAGAACGACATCGCAATAATTCAGGTCCATCCTTCCGAATGCACCCCAGCACCCTGCACCCTCAAAAGAAAGAGAACAATGGCGAAACGACATTATCGCATCAGCTCCTCCGTAAAGCCAGGACCGGATTCCGGCCCAGGCCCAAGGCACGGGGGTCTTTAATCGACCGGTGGCCCTGAATCGCTAATGTTCTCAAATCCCACGCGCGCGCGCTGCTCCTCTCCACATTCGCCAAGAGAGAAAACCGAAAAGATGTCGTGAGGGTCAAGAAAAGGCCACCCCATTTCTTCGAATCAAGGGACGGGTGGACATGCATCATCGGGGTGTGCTTGCTGACTTAGGCTTTGCGTGGAGATGGAACGATGAACCGAGAAGGGTATCTCTTGGCTCAATTGGCCATGGGCTGGATTTGCTTGGAGCCACTCCACCAGCCTGCAGCCTCAATTGCCACTTGCGGGGAATTCAGGATTCTTCCTCATGCTCTCAAGCTTTCCGACCTTGCTAGAGGGCGAATGTAATAGAAGGAAGCTTTCGGGTTGAGGTACTGGGGTCATGGTCAGCAATTATAATCGATCTACGGACTACGGAGTTGGTGTATCTATGCATGCTGGTGGATATTTCGGCGCCTTCGTCCGAGGGAAGCTCATTTGTTGTTGGGCTTTCTGCAACATCTAGTGCCCACTGGGGCTATCACAACTGGCCTAGGCCACACAAAGTGAATGAAAAGAGCAGCACACTCTGCATAACCCTCCTTTTGCCACTCGATCGCAAGGCTCTCATCGTGGGTACCTACATCTCGTTGTTTGCCTCATTTGGTTCTTCTACAAAACTCTGATAGCTTTCGGTTATCTTTCTAATCTTCTGTACTCGTCATTTATCTCTCCTCCCGTCCCTTGCGTTGTTCCACCCGCCATCTTTGCATGTATTCAAATCATGCACTCGCACCTTGCATGCCCTCTATTGTTTCACCGTCAGAGTCACTCAAAAGACAACTACAAGTCTCCCAAGGCATGCATGATGCGGATCGAGGATGCCTCATGGGCGGCACGTTCTTCTCGGTGTTCCGTCGGTCTGTCGTGAAGTGTATGCAATGGTCTCCTTAACCTGTGTATCTATTAGCCGCTTCGTCTTCCTTCCCTCTCATGCTCCTCTATTGTTTTGAGACACATACAGAACATCATTCCCGTGGGACTCACTCGGCCCACCGCCCGCGGTCGTCGTGCTGAGCGACAATGCAACATGGTGTACAAAGCCCTGTTGCTCTGCCTCTCTGCCTCGCGTCCTCGCGTTGCGACGCGTACATACTCCTCCCTCGATCACGGCAGTACGGCACCGGCATATCCGGGGAGGTCGCGAGACATTCCGGAAAAGTGGAACATCCGGTTTGATATGATGATATGCACGACTGCTCTTTTCCATCAGTGCATGAGAATGAATCTACCCGGGCCAGGGAAAATTGAAGCCTGGGTAGACTGACACATGAGAGATGAGGATGGAGGGTGTGGAGAGGGAGCGGGTGAATGGGCTGGGTGGGGAGAGAGTGCCGTAGAAGGAGTCTGCCTGTGAAGTCCGCATGTGATCATCATAATCACAAGGGTGCCACAAGCGAAAGGCTGGAACGAATTGTGTGCGAAAGAGGCGAGTGGTGGGGATTTACTCTCATACTCGCTCTCTTACAGCAGCAGGCCAGCAAGGCCAGCTAGCTCATGGACGTCATCACCCTCAAAAAAACGACATGCAATGCGAGCGGCAAAAACGTTCGCAAATGAACATCTCTCGACGCAAACACATCCTATGCAACATGCCACAAAGACGGTTGTGACTTTGTTGCGTCTTATGTCATGGCCTCCGGGTCTGGACGACATGGACCGACGGCATCTAATGGTACCTATGACGACCATATAGTAGCGTACAAAGAAATATAGGATGAAACAAGGCAGACACCGAGAATGGATGTTCTGTTTGAACATGTCACTGATCGTTCCCCGATATGAATCCTGCCGCTGCTGCCGGCTCCATCTCTCGGCCAGAACATCATCTATGACATCAGGGTACTTCCCGGGTGACAAATACACGTACGGAACAACCCCCTCATCATCGTCATCGTCGGAGGGATTGAAAGAAAGAGAACATGAAATATCCCAACAGGCGGACTTTTCGACACGCCACAAACAACGCGTGGACCCCATACTTGCGTACCGAACCCTGCCGCCTGCGGGGTATGGGGGAGATTTGGGAAGCAGTCGGGCTAAATATTTTGGTCTGTCATGTATAGGTACAGAGGTTGCAGATCAGAGACCATGGACGGCAAACGAGTTGTGATCATGAAACGCAAGGCATTGGAGGCTGTCATTTTCTGGCTGCCGCCCCGGTGTCATCGCTCAAAGTCAGAGCATGTCGCATGTAGCATATCACAATCACGTCCGTAAAGTGTCCCACCCTGTATAATTCATGAGAGTCTCGAGTCCGTCATGACAGCGTTTGATGTAATGGATCACACGCCGCTCCAACTGCTTGACGAAATGTGTGTGTCGGCGCGTCGGCGGTTGTTTGTCTCCAACTGAACATGAGAGGAATGACGATGTGAGATTAGGCTTTGGAGGTGGAGGTGTGGAACAACCGAGAGGCTCCTTGATTGTTAGAGAGCAAAGGGCGAAAAAGTGTGGAGGTCCAGCCGAGAACATGAGGGCCAAGCGCGTCCATGCCAAAGCCGAACAAGATGCGACAAGAGCTCTCGGCATTGCCTTTGGCCCCTGCCGTTGAGGTCAGCGTACCCGGTATCTGTGTGGCCCGTTGAAGGAATGCATACACCCATTGCCCTTTGTCCCCTCTCTGGCTGCGGCAGGAGAACCACACACTATACACAAGGACGCACTGCGCGCTGTGCCGCTGCTGGCTACGGACACAAGGCCAGGATGAAACGCGAGCAAGCAAAAGCGTGACAGCGGGACTACAAGCGGGATTAGGAAATGGCAGTAAGGGGAAGCCGAAGTGGATTAATGGTCGGATTCGGGATTAGAAACCCAGGGACGAGTCAAAGGGAATAAGCTTGGAGGGTCCAGGCCGGGCTGTCGTTTATTTATTTTGGGGTGCGTGTCACGCCCTGGAGATACTCCGCCGCAGCCTCGCCCTCGCGTGGCGCGTCAAATCCCTATTGTTGACCGTCCTACTTATATCCTCAAACATCTTCCTCTTTCTTCTTTCCATCACTCATTCTATACAGTACACAGGACCGTCGCTTGACGCACCGTCCCACCCACACTCTTTCCAAGGCAAGACGGCTTTTCACCGCTCATCAGCACCCCCAGGTATATCACTGACCAAATCGAGGTGAGTCCTTTTTCTTTCCTCTTTCAAACGCCCCACTGGCCCCTCTGGCCTCCTGGTCTCTGAAAAAGAATCTCGCTGACTCCCCCCAGTCTTCTTTGATAGTCACTCTCTTCAACCCTTCAGCCACTCAACACAAAACGACAAACCACATCACAATGTCCTTCACCAAGATCGCCTTGACCGCCCTCGCATTCGCCTCTGTGGCCACTGCCGCCCCTATCAAGAACTGTGCTAGGGACAAGCCCTCTTCTTACGACGAGTCTTACCTTGAGTCTTACGAGACCTGTAAGTATCTTGCACCATCTCGTCTTTGATCACCAGCTGACATTAGCGTTCAGACCACACCAGGTACCTCGCCCTCTCTTGCTACACCCAGCACAACACCACCTTCTTTGACGACTGCTGCCACCCTCTCCTCACCAACGAGACTTTGGCCGACGCCAGGTTGTCTTACTGCAACCCCAACGCCACCCAGCTCGCGGCGGTCAACTCAACGGAAGCGGCGAGCGCCGCCACTGCCTCCGCCACTAACAGTGCCGACCTGGAGGCTGCCTCAGCCTACTCTGAAGTCTCCAGCTCTGTCTGGACCGCCTCTGCTACCGAGACCGTCTCCTCCTCTGCTTCCGAAACCGCCTCCTCTGCCGTTGCCGTGGCCGACGTCGCCCAAATCTCCGTCTCCGTCTCCCTTGGTTTGTCCATCGGTAACGAACAGACCTCTACCTCTTCTGAGGTTGAGCCTACTACCTCTTCATCGTCCTCTTACGTCGAGCCCACCACTGCCTCGTCTACCTCTACCTCGTCCTCCTCTGCCGCCTCTGCTTCTTCAACCAGCGAAGTCTACACTGGTGGATACGCCACGTTCTACTCCCAGGGCTCTTCTGCCGGCGAGTGTGGTGACTATCACTCGGACGACGATTACGTCATTGCCATCGACTCCAACGGGTGGTGGTCCGACTACGAGTCTAACGACTCCTCTCCTTACTGCGGCAAATCCATCACTCTTACAAACACCAACAACGGGAAGAGTGTGACTGCCGTGGTGGCTGATGTGTGTCCAAGTTGCACTACTTCTAACTCGTTAGATCTCTCGGTGGCAGCATTCAATGCTATCGCGAGTGAGGACGATGGTATGGTGCCAATCACCTGGTTCTTTTCTAGTTAGATAGGTTTGGAGAACTTTCTTCATTTGATTCACCATAGCTTCTTTCCCTGTCGCTGGCAGACAGCAAAACGAAGGCTTTCAAGACCCAATTCATACTCTGGCAGTAGACATGTCATGTATAATTCGATTTGATATCCGTTCGCAAAGGCGTGCTTGAATTGCTGCCATGCATGTCTTCCAATTTCGCCTAACGTACACGCGTGAAGCTGAAAAGAGCTGAAAAGATGACTTTGAGATTGTCATCTTCCTTGAGGTCGACATAGGACACGGCCAACAGAGTCTTGTCGTTATCAGGGTGAGTGGATGAGGGAGTCACACCGAACCTCCTGGGCTGAACCCGCCTTGACATGGTGGGTTGGGTTTCGGAAATGTGACAATGTCTGCACAGCTCACAACAAAAGCCTCTGATGCACAGCGATGCTGTTCACAGAATACATGAGAGAGAGATGCTATATTGATATATATATATATATAGAGTAGATCGAGCGAATGATGCCTTCTGATTGACTACTCCCCCAGGATGGTCGCGGTTAGGATGGTCGCGGTTAGGATGGTCGCGGTTAGGATGGTCGCGGTTAGGATGGTCGCGGTTAGGATGGTCGCGGTTAGGATGGTCGCGGTTAGGATGGTCGCGGTTAGGATGGTCGCGGTTAGGATGGTCGCGGTTAGGATGGTCGCGGTTAGGATGGTCGCGGTTAGGATGGTCGCGGTTAGGATGGTCGCGGTTAGGATGGTCGCGGTTAGGATGGTCGCGGTTAGGATGGTCGCGGTTAGGATGGTCGCGGTTAGGATGGTCGCGGTTAGGATGGTCGCGGTTAGGATGGTCGCGGTTAGGATGGTCGCGGTTAGGATGGTCGCGGTTAGGATGGTCGCGGTTAGGATGGTCGCGGTTAGGATGGTCGCGGTTAGGATGGTCGCGGTTAGGATGGTCGCGGTTAGGATGGTCGCGGTTAGGATGGTCGCGGTTAGGATGGTCGCGGTTAGGATGGTCGCGGTTAGGATGGTCGCGGTTAGGATGGTCGCGGTTAGGATGGTCGCGGTTAGGATGGTCGCGGTTAGGATGGTCGCGGTTAGGATGGTCGCGGTTAGGATGGTCGCGGTTAGGATGGTCGCGGTTAGGATGGTCGCGGTCGCGGTTCGCCACTTCTGCGATGAGATTTGGCCTCGCGCGCTTCGGGTTCGACCAACCGTCGTCGGTATGATGCTTCCTCTTCGGGATGATCTCCTCGCCTACGATGGTGATGTCTTCACCAGCCTGTAGAATGGGTGGAGCTGGAGACGCAGGTTTGACCTTCACGTGTCGGACCTTGTTGTGCTCCTCTTCTGGCTCTTTCCTGTCGACGTCCGAAAACCCGTCGTCGTAAGAAAGTTCCGCTGCTTTCGCACCTGTCGCCAAAGTCACGAACTTTTTCACCCAGTTGGGTTTCGGCCAGGGTCCTGTGGGGGGGAGGGCCTTCAGCCTGATGCAAGGCTTCACCATGCGACAAAATCCCTCGCAGAGCTCGGGGGTTTTGAAGGCAATCAGCACGTGCTTCGTGGCGTTCTGTACAGAGCATGATGATCAGCAATAATCTTGTTTGATCTCGTAGGGGACTTACCATCGGGGGTGTCGAGGCGGCAGCCCCTGGCCAGCTTTCGATACGTAAATAGCAAACTCGCTCGCAATGGGCGAGAACCGACGATTTCGACTGGCCTGTATTCCGAGGTGCGAGGGATACGACCATCTGTATAGCGTGTCAGTATCTGGCTCTGAGGTATGGGCTGGATACATACCTCGATTGGGTACGGCTGCATCGCGGTTGCTGAATATGGCACTTTGTTCAACTCGAGCAATATCGTGGACGGCATGCCCGTGAAGCCTTTCTTAGGCTTGCTCAACGAAAGGACAGCACTACGCCTGTAAATTACGTTAGCCATGGCGACGGTGTTCAGAACATGCTGGGGTACTCACGAAGCTTTGGATTGCGTAGATTCACCTTCACGCCTCCACGCCTTGCTAAGGTTGTACTGAACCTTCCACCTCCAGTGTCCACTTGTCTCCACTCCATCTTCAAAATCGATTCGATTCGTTCCGCTGTCATCACGTCTAACATGCTCGACATCATCGGTTTCACTTTCACCAATGTCATTGCTCGTGTCATCATCATCATCATCTTCTGGAGGCACGTAATTCGCGTCCCCGTCGAGGCTGGAGTCGTCAGAGGCGGTAACCATCGTTGCTTGGCTGTAATATCCAGGGGGGCGGGAGGCTTCGCGTGACTTCATGGGGCGCTCAGCGAAGCGAGTGGTGTCCGAGCCTACGGGGAGGAATGGCTGACTGGACTGGGATGGAAGTATAGATGCAAAACATATAGAGATTCAGATCAGCATTTGAGGGGAGGACGGGGATGGAGGCCTGTGCGCTGCCTTGCGCGAGCAGTTGACTCAACCGCCACTTGTGGTTTTACCGCAAAATGCCGACGCGTTCTCATGATCTATCGTATATTGCCATCGCCCTCTGCCGCAGCCTCACAAAAGTTCTTTGTAGCCCCTCTGTCCATCCCCATGCATGCATAGCAAGCTATCCAGTGGGGCCGGGGCCGGTGGCAGACGAAAGCGGCGACCTCCATGGGGCTGTGCCTGAACCTATCCTGAAGTGTCGACGCGTTTCGTCCCTCTCCTATTCACTCATCCTCCGAGCTTCCTCTCTTCATCGCTTCCCGCGGCTCCCCTTTCCCGTTCAATCAACGATCCCCTATCTTCGCCGGGCAAGAAGCGTGCAGAAACGACCTCTTCGACAGGCCGTCCCAAAGAAATCGGGTAGACCGAACTCCGAAGAAGACGTCAGTTTGCCTGCCCCCTCAGCGCCATCTCTGCCACCCATAGCCCGACGACCCATTTGCAAAAGCAGAATCCCTCTTCATCCCTGAAGCGTCGAGTTCTCCTATCACGGCGCTCTTCATTGGGAAGATGAATCTCCCAAGTTCACCGACTGCTGCGCCAAGGGCACGGTCTATCTGCCGAATCTGCTATGACCACACCCATTCGGCAAGGACTTCTCACTGGAGATCAAGGCAGTGAATCTATCTGATGCACCGTGGTACTCGCTGATACTACGTAAGAAAGTGTGGACTTAAGGCAAGATGTTCGCCAATATCACGGGGCCCTCGCATGAGCTCTATGGACAAATCAGTCTCCGCCTCGAAAGGTATATGCAACCTCTACAACCTCTCCATTTGCGCAAAAATCTACCACATGCGCTGGGCTCTCTCCTTCCTGCTCTCTTTCATAACCTATTTGCACATCCGTCTTCATCGCCGATATGGATGCCCAGACACGGGCTGAACCACACCACCGAATTGTGAACGGCCTCTGTCACGCAGATATCCTCGCTTGTTCGGTAGGAACATATGATACTAGAGCTTAGCGATAACTGTGCCCTCGTGCAAGCTATCTGTCCGAAACATTCCTCTCACTTCACTGACATGTTCGCCGGAAACGAAGGGTCCGCCGCGCCCATTACCATCGTCGCCATGGGCATCATCGGCGACTTGAATGCCGTCAACAGAGCTGGCCTAATCCGCGACAACTCTCACCATCTGAGCACCTATCACCCTCACCATATCATCCCCTGCCTGACCGTCAGCCTCATTGCCAGCATGTGTACCCGAACCAGATCTGTCACCTCACTTCGCCACCAGAGGGGCCTTCATCCCCCTGGTATCTTCCGGTGGCCGGATGACGTCTAGAGGAACATCAGAAGAGGTGAGACGTTGGGGAAGGATGTTGGGAAGAAGGGATGCTGAGGTTTGAGGAGCGACCAAGAACGGAGCTGCTGAAGGTGCGGGAGTTGCAGCGGCGGGCGATCTGGAAGGAAACGGGAAACTGGGGTTTCGCAGGTACGACCGATTAAGATGGAGGCAGACTTGTGAACGCTAGCGGCCAACTGATTTCACAGCCCACCCAAGCCACTACACTCAAACACCCCAGTCCGAAACATGGAGATGAGCGCCCTGGGGCCTAGAGGAACCTGCATGAACTAGTGTGCAACGGACACTGTACAATAATATTCAATCTGCTACTAAAATATACACTTACGCTACCCTCCCACCTCTCAATGCGTCGAGTTCCACTCACATCCTCATTACTACCCTAAGACGCCGGCGTGATTGGATCTGACCTCTCTCGTCCGCGGTCTTCCAGAGGCTCTTCTGAGACTTTCGTCGCTGGGGGGAGCTGTTTGGTTTCATGCACCTGATGAGTGAATGGGTGTCAGCCATGAAACAAAATTTTGATATTCGAGTCATGGGATGCACATATGGGATGCACATACAAAATATAGAAGTTGCAGATGACCTCGCGCTGCGTGTCAGTCATCTCCTGGTAGTAGTCCATCATGAGGAGATAATGCGTTAGTCCCAGTCAAGTCAATCGCTACCGGCGGCAGCTCATGAGCAAGCTCGGCTTCGTCGCTGAAGAAGCGCATGTCCTCTTCACCGAGGGCTGCGCCAATGAGACCGGACGAGATGACCACTTGATGCTTAGTGAACGCGACATCCAGATTGGATAGATCGAAAAGCTGGTTGAGCATCTTGGGGAAACGCAAAGCATTGGAAGCGGCGGCACCCAAGTTCTCCGGCTTGTCGCTGGAGGCAGCCACCTGCTTGTTCTCCATGTCTCTGAACCAAGACCTGAGGATCATTGACATCCCCTCATGCCCATCGCCCAACAGCACGGTGCTCTTGTAGGCTAGGTCGATGGCCTCCAGGCCCCCCAAATCGTCCACTGCATTGCTCTTCCTCAACACCATAACAGCGGCGGACTGGGGCTGAGCAGACAATAGAGGGAGGAGGCGTCGATAGAGATGCACAGAGCGAGGGAGCAGGTTTTCGAGGCGCGAGGTGAAGCACTTGATCAAGCGGCCCTCGACAACGAACTCCCTGTTGACGGGCTCGGACTCCACCATATCATGGACGCTGATCATGAGGGGACGATGGGTCGGAACCATACCGTAGTACGCGTCGCCTAGTCAGAGTGTCAGCTTCAGAACATCATAAGAGAAAAAAGGGGTGACACACTGCCTGGTTGTGCCCAAGACGTGAATCTTTCCATTTCCACCGGGTAGACACGGATGGGAGATTCCTGTTTGTCGTCATGAACAATTGAGGCCCAAGTGGCGCCGATGGCCTCGTCAACCGAATAGGGGGGGTTAGTCTCATTCGGATCGACGTACAGAGAGATCACCACTGGGAAAAGGTTGGCCGCAGACTCAAAATCATACGATGCTTCGAATACCATAGACCGTGGCCTGTTCTCGTTAGGCACCGTCATCACCATCGGAGTCGTCAGAATCAGAATCGGACGATTGAGGCCCGTTGATACCGGCAAAGGTGATAGGCAGAGGTCTGGTGACAGGACGGTGAGAGGGCCAGGGGAGAAGAGATCAAACAGGTGGTGGAGGGCTTTCAGGCTCGTAGATGTCACGAGGGCGTGTGGCGCAAGTGGATCGGCGCATGGTTCTGTTGAGAGCGAACAAGGAGTGTATTAAAGAGAATGCTATTTCACATGGGAGGAAAAGAGAAGCGTGCTACGTAGCAGGTCAAGCGATGTTGACATTTTTTTTTCCTTTCGACTGCAAAAAGTTTCCGAGAGTGGAGGCAGGTGGAGGCGGAGGACGCCGACGACGCGTCTCAGAAGGGAGGATCAGGCGCCAGGAAGAGGCCGTTGACGGTAAACGGTCTTTGGGAAAAAGAACGGGGACGATGCATGAGGAGGTATGGGTACAGGCAGGTGGGGTTCATGGCAACCTTTCGCACTCAGCCAAGAACGAAGAGAAGTGATCGACGAAAAGTGAAGAACGATGGAATCAAAGGTTTCGGGGACGCGTGAGGAGCGAAAACAGCGGTTCGAGGAAAACGGACGGTAGAGAGAGCTGGGATGTGTCGGATGCGAAACTGAAAGTACCGTTAGGTGGGGATGAGTCACAGCTGTCGAATGGTGCAGTCAGCGGGCCAGATGTATCGACGGAAAATGGAATGAAACGGTGAACAGTAAAATGAGAAAGATGGAATTGACGGTAAACGGTCTGAGGGAAAACGAACGGGGAGGATGCATGCAGAAATAATGGTACGGTTCGGTGGGGATGGATGCAACGATCGTAACAGAGTTTTGGATGAGTCCAGTTGATTGGAAAACAACGGAGAACGATGGAATTGAAAATAAAGGAGGTCGAAAAATGGGATCGTGGCTTAAACTAAATAGATGCGACCTGTGTGAATGACATTTGTACTCGGAAGCCCCCCCGCGGCCGCATCTTCTAATACGGGTACATTCTAAGCTCTGCAACGGTAATTATTTGGACCTCAGCGGCCCAGATACGGCTTGTACTACTTCACCCAGTTGTGAGTTTTCATGGTGTCTAAACAATTTATATCACAAGCCAGTATATGTAACCCTAGTTTTATCTACAACCTGCCTTCTCTCCAAAAAGTCCTCATACGCAAGTATCTCCTGCAATGTCAGCCGCACCATCTCCTCTGTCACATCGACCCCAACCTCTCCCTGCAAGAAGGCGAACGTACCCGCGTGCGCATCTGCACGTCGTTTACAGTCTTCGTATCGTCTGGCACGAAGGACGCTCTCCTCTTCGTGCTCCCCTTCCCCATACCTCGCCAGCAAGGTCTCCAGCCTCGACGCTGCCTTGATCTGCTCCACCTGCAGTCGACGATGCTTCTCCAAACAAGTCTTCACTGCGGTGTCAATCGGTACAGAGTTGTCGGGGATGACAAGTCGGGTTTTGGACAGCACGTGGAGCTCGTACAAGACTCGAGCGAGTTCCTCTGTGTGGTCCATACGTGATTGATTTTGCTGCACCGCATTAATTATCCACACTCGGCATCACATCAAGCTGATCACCTTGATCATTGCAGAGCAGAACAGGAAGGGAAACCTCCTATGTAAAAGTCAGTCTCACTGTTATGAATATGATGGCACCACTCACGTCGAGATGTGGGCGAATGCCGTCTTCAAAACGGCAGACATCTCCCGGAGAGAGGGGCTCTCCTTGCAAGTCAAAGTCATTCGGATGACCTTGAGGTGCCCGTAGGCCACCCTGGATTCGCCTTTCAACGGAGAGGGCACCATCCGAGTCACCCTCACACCCGTTGCGTGGATCGTGATTGCATCCTCTGGCGACAGGCAGAGGTTTTCTCGGTTCTGTGCCAAATCAGCGCTATACATAACACGAAGAACCGGCTTACGACTTCGAGCATTCGAGAGAGGCTCTCGATAGCACGCCTCTGCTGCCCTGCCTCCTTCATCACGACCTCGAAATCGACACTCTCCCCCCGCAACCAAGTCACCCATAGCCAGTTCTCCACCTCGCACGCTTCATCCAGAAAAGGAGAGAGTAGGAAGTGGGGGAAGTCAACTCTGTAGCAGAGTGCGAGCCCGAGTCGAGCACCATCGGCGGTCAGCTGGTAGCTGGCGCTCGTGAATGTGATGCCATTTTCGCTGGTTTGAGCCCTACCGCGCCGATTAGCGTCGCGTCATAGATAAATCAATCGATAGATGAGCTCACATTGTCGATGAGGGAAGATTGGAGTTTATAAAAGATCAAAGCGCTCTATATCAGAAACCTTGCAGAAACCTCGTACGTGTGTTGTTGTGTGTTTGGTCCGTTATGTAAGCATCGGCCATACATTTCCATGTGATGGTGGTGGAGACATGTCGAAGAGAAGGGTCTCGTTCTATCCCTACCCTCAACAGCATCAGCGACAGACCAAGGCAGCTAATGGGGCCCATGCCAGCCACGATGCCATTGTCGGCAGCAACATCAGCAGTTCGGTCGCCAAATCATCCGCCTTCCGGACGTGCGAGATGCGAAGAGCTTTTGGCGTCCCGGCACTTCGGCATAGAAGAAAGAGCACCAAGCACAGCGATGGACAGGATATCGACAATACTCGACCGGATGGCGACAAAAGAGAAAACCTCGGCATCGATTGAAGCAGCAGCGGCGCCTCACAAAAGAAAGGCACATCGGATGGAGTTCACCTATCAAGAAGCGAGGGGTCAAATGTGAATACAGAAGCCAATCGATGATCAGCGATCCTCGAGGAGAGATAGGGAGATATGTGGCTGATCGACGTGGGGCCCAAGCGGCTTGTGCGCAAGGTCGCTGGGAAGCACCACCCAAAGAATGCGCAGAAATCCCACCCACTAGCGACCACACGTCTGTCGTCACTTGCATCGGCACGGCTCCGCTCCCGTACCACCTGTTTTTGTCTATCAAGAGGCAAAACTCATGGGAACATGGTTTGCGGAGGACAAGGATGATGAGCAGCTGGCCAGCAACACCGACTCTGGTTTCTCCAACACTTTCATCATGAAGATGTGGCTTTTGGAAGCCTTCGGGTCTCATACCCGCCCCAGCTGCACATAACGGTCGTCATCCTCGTCTGCTCATATGGACGGACATCAGTCTCATATTATGGTCGACTTTCTCGCAACCTGCTGGGACCGGAACATCATTGTGCTCATTCTGCCAGCCAAAATCGGTGGCAAGTCCCAGCCATTCGACGTACGGCCAGGGGCTGGGTGAGTGTGCTCTCTTGCATGAAGACAGGATTGCGCTGACGGACGATAAGCGGAGCGCCGAGGCCCGCGAAAGCAACAAAATCACTCGTCAAGATATCGATACTATCTCTCACTCCCAGTCTTTCTACAGCAAATAATCCCCTTCTTGTTTTCTCGCGACACAGCCTACGTCTCCTGGTCTTTGCGGATCATTTGGAGAGGATGCGCGCTTGTGCAGGAGAAGAAGAAGCGAGACCTGAGAGATAGCGGACATCAGCAGCAGGAGTCCACTCAGCAAAAAACGAGAAGGTAGAAGCAGCAGGGGGCGCTATCGGCATCACAGGGTAGCAATTATTAACGCTAGAGAACGACGGAGCGCAGTCCCAGCTTTCCTTTGACTATGAACACCATGACTATCCACTCCCCTGATCACTGTGCCAAATCTGTTACAATACAATCGAGGAACAGGATGATAGTCATCCCCTCAGCGCTGAAAGTCATTCCCGGCTGAATAAGGTATGTTTCTTTCAGCCCCGACCTCTCACCCCCTGCTAATAGCCTTAGAGGCTGAAACTTGCGATTCATCCCCCAAAAGGCTGAAATTCATCCTTCCCCGGGCCCATAGTGCATGGCGGATCGGAGAGAGCCGCGTCGGTGGAGGAACGCATGTCGGGTGGGCTGCGTGCGGTGACGTGAGCTTAAGGAGTATAATAGCATAGGGTGTTAGTCTTGCCGAGGTGGAGGAGATTATACATGCGTTGCAGTGGCGAGGGGCTGTATGAAGCAATCACCTGCGCCGGTGTCACTTCTACTTCTCTCCTCTGACCCTCGTTGGGTATAGAGAGCTGAGCGTTGGTATCAGGGTACATCGTTAATATAGATCATGTTATCTCTCTGGCGTTTTTCATGTAGAGCCGCAAGCTTTGACATGCCTTTCGGGCAGCTTCCATGTGAACAAAATGGATAACGAAAGTCTCGGCCCATGCCAGGTCGGTCAAATTGGGAAACACGAACACCACCGCATTGCCGTATATGTCTGCGGTAGGGGCAGCAACAGCAGGAGAAGAGAGTAGAATGAATCGATGAAACTGGAACAGGGAGTCAGATGGGGAGAAATAGGACAAAGTGATACGCACGACGGTTATTCCATCTTGGACCAGATGGAAGCAAAATGAGCCGTCAGTCATCAAGCAAAGCTCAAGGCTGCAATTCCCGCTAAAACAGTCGTAAAGCACGTATGAGGTCGGTGAACGCTATGGTGGAGCTTGTAAAGCTTGAATCGACGTACATGGCTTTGAGTTCGAGTTCTGTACCCATCTGTGCCGGATGGAAATCATCACAGCATTCCACATTCACGGCATCTGCTTGCAACGTGGTTAGCGTCTAGACACGTAGGTTTCACCTCTGGATGCCACTGACACAATGCCCGCTGCTTTGTTTTCTTGGGAAATGCGTATGCGTCGCTTCTCTCTTTACGAATTCTTGCCAATTCTTTTCGTTCACCCCGGCAGCTACTACACACGTCTGATACAGCCGAAGTTTGGGTATAGAATGACTCGGGGGGCTGTGAAAGACCACATGCCTCGCACTTTTTGTTGACAGGTTTGTATTTCGAGTTGGTGTGGCCTACGAGAGTTTGGCTACAAATGGTGTCAGTGACAGATCCGCGTCGGACAGGGGACGAAATACTCGGGGGGATTTGATATGGTCTGATTTTTTCGCCCTCGAGCAGCTGGCATTGTTGAGGAGTAAACATAGCGGAAGAAAGAAAGAGAGCGGATGTAAACAATCCAGCGCAGCCGACGGGGGTCGTGTGGCCTCGTGCCCGGTGTATCCCCGATGTGTTTATGGCAAGCCGCTGGGGAAATACTTGTAATTCGACGCGCGCTCTCTTTTTTCGGCTACTGGCTTTTTATGTTCTTTTTTTCCGTCATGGCTGCCTGCATATTATTGCTGCATTGCATCTCATCTTGGTATGGAGTCATGCCACCTCACAGTGTACAGAGAGCCCCTGTGATTTCTATATGCATTGTTCCTCGCTGAGTCGGCTATTCATCCCTGCCGGTGGCAGGGTCAACTTTGCTCGGGCTCCCGGCCCTTTCAGGTGTGTACTTGGTTGAGCGAATGCCACACGGGTCCATGACCTCTAGCAATGCCCTTGTAGTAGTCGAGGTGAGTCGTAATGACTTGAGGACCATGAGAGGTAGCCAAGCCAATGCCGGAGGACATGGACGCTTGTGTTTGAGAGACGACAATATTTGATCGACAGAGTATCTAAAAGCTATGAAAGAACGTAGGTATTTATATCCAGCCTCGAGCCTACGTATCCGGGCGCGGTCGTGACACTGATGAGTTTGGGCGTCCAACAACCAACACCGCCATTAAGTCGTCTGCCTCCCGGACCGACTATCTACTCTTCTGAGCACCTACCCGTAAAAGCGTCCTGGTCGCTTGCCTAGCTCGGATCACCGGATTTCTGGTGCTGACATTCTCATGCTCCACGCCGCCACGCCGTCATATCCCCCCCCCCCCCCTCGCATGGCTACCCCTCAAGCCCATACCTGACGATTGCATGATGTATGACATGGAGCTACTCGTCTAGCAGCCATGGATGACCCTGGCTGTATTCGGCCTCAGACTCCACCCCGGCACATCTGGTACCTAGTGACGGGTAGTGTACTCATCTTTTGGCCGTCCTTGAGTACCCTTCGTGAATGAGACATCCTGAGCTTCCAACTGCTTTCCTACTTGACTACGTTTATGTCTATCCTCGCAGCGTCCTGCATACTGAACTTCAGATCCCAACAAAAAAGCCCTTCGGCACGCCGAGTAAGGACGCCGAGGCTGAACTGCTGGAGCAGAGTGTAGAGAAATGCCATTACTATACCAAACCATATAATACTTTTGGGATCTTCTTTGAACATAGAATGTCACGCCATAAGCGTATTCGACATTACGACCTTTTTCCCCTTGACGAATTTGACGCTATGCATACATCCGTCTCTATTTGGACATTTCGTGAAGTATAAAAGCGAAGTCATAATCTTCGAAAAACACCTTCACACCCCCCACATGTCCCTCGAAATGGTATACAGTCTCTATCTCCAACTTCTCTCCCCTTGCCTCCAATAAACACAGCTCCTCCCTAAACCAGCATCAGAAGAAAGACCCGATTTTTTCCATAGATGGACTTACTCGATCTCCCAATCCGCCCCACGCCTCCTCATCGCAGACAGCTGATGGAAATCAGTTCACATCCGACCATCATCGAGAACGCTCACTTGGTTCCAATCGCCCTCCCCGAGGGGGAGCAAGAATTGGGCGTTCTCCCCTTCACTGTGCGCAAGAGTCAGTCTCATTTCAACACGCATGAAGTGACTCACGCGATCATTTCCTCCATCTGGGAGAGCCTAAGCCCCAGCCATCGGACTCGCCTCCTCAGGCTCCTCGACGACTGGAGCGGAAAACGAGAACTCCCATCCCAGAGGTTGGCCATCATTGACACGCCGTATGGGTCTCCGTCGAAGAGGGCGTTCATCTGCATGCTACTCAGGATCGTCAGCATCGTATATCAGCATGATGAGGAGACGCACGCGGGGTAGGCGTCGGCCAGCAGATGCAAGAGCCTGACAGTAGCACGGTCGAGTCGACCATGGCTCTGTGCGCGGAGTGAGCTTTTCTGCGCAGACTTGAGAACATTGCGCCTACAGCCATGAGAACTGTCACCTCCACCCGCTCCTGCGTCAGGATACCCAAATCGTTCAGCTTCTCCATCGAGGCCTATATTTCGATCAGTTTGAGTATGAAAAGTCAGACTCACTATCTTCTCCGTGTACAACAACTTCTCTATGTTGCCGTGGATTTCGATGGCCGTGGGGAACCACTTGGTATCGAAGTGGATGGCCTGATTGGTCAGTCCCATACAAGCCCTGGAAGGTAAGCCTCACCTGAAAGGGCTCGAAATGTAAATCAGAGCCCGTTTCCCTCGCGATAGTGACCGGGTGACGGCATATTAAATTTCCTCTAGCCTCCGGAATCTTCGACGCAGTCAGCTGGCGTTCAATAATGCAACCCTGCACATACTATCCCGAAAGCTTCGAGGGGGAGTCCCGCAGTTTCGGCAATGTCATAAGCCATCTGTGGCAAGGGTTAGCACCCGACGGAATGTCATCCAATTACTCACGCTGCTCGAATGTCGGTAGTCGCCGCACACATGCTTTGTGTAGTAGTGGGAGCCTCTTTGGGAGGGCTTCAGCCATGGTCGCTGTAAGTCAATCACCCACCTCATAGAAATCGTTCTATCCTTGGAGATACTCGCATACATCACCATCAAGATCTTGGCGGTCAGGACTGTTGGGGAATCAGATCAGCAGCAATCGTTCACCATTCAACGTCTCGAAGACATACCCAGCCGCCGGGAATCATCCGCCTTCGTGCTTGGCATCTTAGCGACGGTGGTGACTCTGTACTCCATGAGCCCCGGTCTCCATCCGTTCATCACTACTTACTTGTCCCGAGATCGCGTCAAAGTGACGCTGATCCCTTTGCTTGTGTCGGTGAACTCGGATTGGCGTCGGGATGAGCGGTGTTTGAGTATTGCGATATTTCTATCACACATCACGCCAACATCATCAAACAACTTTCTCGCCGTATCGACCACAAAGCGATGGGCGTTCTCACTACTCCTGAGTCAGATAGAGAACGCTTTCTATGCAGGGGGGCGACTCACCACTGAGTGGCCCAGTCATCTCCTGGAGCAGACGCTCTCGCGACTTGTTGCTCCACAAATGACTTTTCTTCCCTACCAGACTTTGTTGGCTTATCTCTTATGTAGCTGCCCGATACGGATACCTTGCTTGCACAATGGCGCCTACGCGCTCCATCACTTCCATCTCGGCTTCGAATGCGCTGTAAATGTCGGACTTGGGCTATGTCATGGGTCAGCTGCAGCGCCAAGACAAGTGGGAGGAGGGCGATGGGTGACGGCTGACGTGAGTTTTGGGGAGTGGATGGTGACGGGGACTCACAGTAAGCTTGGCGGGCATGTTGGTGAGTGGCGATAGTCGGTGGGCAAAGGATTGGTTCAGGGGATGGCTTTGGGGAGAAGGTAGAGAGGCAAAATGAAAACCTGCCAGTTTTTATATTCCCCCTGTGCCGGGCGAATCTGCGTTGATGGTCGTCATCGGCGATCCTGGCGGGAAAGGAGGTTTTGAGTGCTCCGTGGGGGCACCCTGTTTTGTCGAGGGCGCAGAGGCGGAGAATGCCGGCGTGAGGGCGATGTAAAGATAGCGCGCAGGGGGTTGGTCGGGTATAGGGTAGCCTAGAGAGGACAAGCGCGACGCGCGGGAAAAGGGGTCCATCAAGCCTTCCTTGTTGTTACTCTGTCACGCCGGGTCGTCTTCCGTACGAGTTTGTGCTATTGACTCAACATCCTGTGAGAGGTGTGTATCCTCTTCACTGGTGGTGGGTGGTGGGAACGGCGAGTCACAACTGGACGGGGCTGGAGGGAAGAGCGACGAAGAAAGGCGGAGAACGACGAGAGATCTGATGGGGCGGTGTGATCGTGAGCTGCAAACAGGACCCAATGCATATACTTGTCACACAGGCAGAAGAAAACGGCGACTAGACAGAAGTCAGTCTAACTGTTACTATACTCGCACACAGACACCTATGGTTCCACAGCAAAGGGCAAGAGACGGGGAACAACGAGGGGCAAAGAAAGAGCAACCACGTCGATGTTCCACCAAGTCCCCGTCTGCGGCCCGCCCCGTCTGCGGCGAAACTCGCAATGATGTGGCAATATACAGTACGTAAAACAAGAGTGAAAGCGCTTCTCACGACGCGATCGCGACGCGACGCGCCCCGTCGCTCTGGTCTCTCGACTGATTTCGCATGATTGACCCACCTTTCACCAGTCTCAGCTAGCTGTTCCAATGCCAGGCACCCCCTCAATCCCCACTCACGAGTGTGAGTAGACTCCTTCTTGCTATGTGTGAGCCTTATAGGTTCACAGTCTTTCCGCAGGTCGTTGCCAGGGTTACTCTTCTGGCGAAGCAGGTCTGTGAAGACAAGGACCGTGATTGGCTGTAAGCAATACTCACTGCTTGATCTATGCATCACACTGACAGTACACTGACATCGGGTCACAAGCTACCAGGGTAGAGTCACAGTGAGGCCCGTGACGAACGATTCGGCAAAGATCGCCGTCGAGCACAATGGCTCATGTGTCGTGAGGCATACATCATTAAGCACACTATGTGATATGCTCACAACATCAAGATGGCCCATCTGAGCAAAAAATCTTCCATCAACTCTGCCGCGTTGTTCTGCAACTCGTGCGTATGCCTCTTCGTCCCGGCAGGCCACGCCAAACTTGTGAGTTCTCCATGCATTGAGCTGAACCGATTCTCACTGTGCATAGAGTAGCAGACAGATCCGATTGACTCTGTTCTTTTACAATCGTGAAGAGCTGAATGAGCTCAAAGACATCCTCCAACCCTATATCCGCTTTGCGACTCGAGATACACTGTGGCCATCGCAGATCGTTGACCGACTGCGCACGTTGTCAGACGGCCCCTCGAAATACCACCAACTTCGAGATTATCTATCACTCGTTTTCCCCTCTAGCCCAAAGAAGCATATCTGTATGGTGTCCTTGACATGTCGGAATTTACTGACGGCATCCACACTTTTCAGTCATCCTCAAACACGCCCGAGTCCAGTCCGCCCTACCGAGAACAGCGCCTAGAGCGTACGATAAAACCGTCACATGGGCCGGCGGCTTCACAATGGGGTGTGTCATTATTGACACCACGCGACCAGACGAGCCCTCTCTGGACATACGCGATCCCAACCAAGCTCGCTTCGTGAGCACGCTTACTCATGACATGAATCATCAATACTTATATCCCCAGGGTCACACGCACAAGATCCACGGTTCGGACCCCCTTCATATGTTTTACTATGATCTGGGGTGCCAATTCGAGCTTGCGGTTTCCAAAGGCAAGGAAGAGGTAAATCCATTTGCAAAACCTACAATACACAAGGCTGACCATATGTCAGGTGAGGGTGAAGGTCGCACAGGTGGTCTTTCATACAATCAGGGAACTTCACCAGTTCCTTGAAATGGCAAAAGACATCTACACCATCACCAAACGCGATACTCCGCCAATGGAGTTTGAAACTCTTCACCTGGTTCATCGACCCGGGTCTCGCACATGCCCCTCCCCCGCCTCCCATTACAATGCGATGGGGGGTGAGAGGCGCAAGTTGAAGGACTTCATGGAGGAGTATCGTCTCTTTCAAGAAGATTGAGTGAGCGCAGTCGTCTTGAAAGGTGTTTTTTTTCTCTTGCTGGTTTAGGGAGGAGCTCCGTATAATGGAAGCGTCGGGAGAGAAACTGGAGATAGAGACTGTATACAATTTCGAGGGTGTTGTGGAGGTTGTACTTGTACGTATGTCCTTCGAGGACTGTTATCTCGCGTCGTGTACGTATGTCCTTGGAGGGGTTATCTCGCGTCTGCACTTCACGAAGTGTCCAAATAGAGACGCATGTATGCATAGTGACTACAGAACAGACGTCAAAATTCGTCAAGGGGAAAAAGGTCGTAATGTCGAATACGCTTATGGCGTGAGTTTCTATGTTCAAAGAAGATCCCAAAAGTATTAAACAGTCATATGGTATGGTATAGTGATGGTCTGGGTATATCGGGTGGAGCGTGTTTCTACTTCCTGTTTCGAAGTTGAGTGCGCAGACTGCCGACTTCAGCTTGTAACGAGTTGAGCTAGGTGGGGCATCAGCTTTCCGTCATCCAACTTCACATCCATGGCGACTGACCTCATCGAGCAATTGGATATTCTGCCCCGTAGACTTTGCCCTATCCTCATCCGCATCTTCCTCTACCCGATTCAGCTTTCGCTTCGTCTCTTCCAATTCCCCCTGCAACTTTTGCTGCAGCGCCCTCTTTTCATCCTCGGCCACCTGCGCAAGCTCCAGTGCCCTAGCAGAGAGCGTATCATTCGCCTCGCTCAGTCTGTTGCACGTCTCCATCTGCTGGGCGAGCTTTTGCTCGAGGGTGCGTTTGGCTTGTTGGTTGGCATCGACGAGGGATTGGAGAGAATTGAGTTCGTCGAGGAAGTGGGATTCGGATTGAGAGGATTTGGCGAGGCGGTCTTCAAGGATCGTCACTTGTCTACACCGATGGTCAGCTTGAGCGCGCGAGTAGCGCATTGGGACGTACTGCTGATATGTCTGCAAACTCCTGGTACTGTCCTCGACCAATTTCTTCGCCTTGGCAGCATTCGTCTTCAACGTCTCCCTCTCCTTGCCCATCCTCACCACCCTATCCACCAGTAGCTTACCATCCTCCACCATACCCTTGATTCTCGACAGCGCTTCAGGTATGGATGTTAAAGACGTCGACGTCGGGCGCCCAGGAGCATAGAGCGCCTGAAGCGCCTCAAAGCTGATCGAGTTGCTCGGCGACGCTAAAGCCTTGTTCGACTGGCCCGTCCGGGGGTCGATCAAATCAGCCTTCTCCCGCTCTGCTCTCGAAGGCAGAAGCGGCCAGATAGAAGCAAATTGCTTGGCAATCTCTTCGAGCTCGGCGGAGAGTGCTTGACTGCGCTGCTCGTTGCCTTGGGCGGTGCTGGGAGATGGCACGACGGATAGGGTGGATTGGGCGGCAGCGAGGGAGGATGAGAGGGATTCGTTGCGGAGAGTGAGATCGGTGATTTGGTCTTGTTGTTGCTGTTTGACGTTAGCGCAAGTCGCTCAGCGGTTATGACGACTTACACGAAGACTCCTTTCGAGCGATGCAACCTCTTCTTGCTTCATCGCTTCTCCCTTTGCGACCTTGGCCTTCCAAGCGTCTCTATCTTCGCCGGCTCTCCTCACTTCCTGTTCCAATCCCATGTTGACTTCCCGCACCTCTTCTCTCAGACTCATGATCTCTCTCTCTCTCTCTGACAGGAGGGTTTTGAGCTGCTCAAAGGCGGGCACAATTTCCTCCTCGTCAACCTGCCCCGCCCTTCGCCCTAAGAGTGCCGCAAGAGTGGTCTGGACATGACTCTTGATCTGCCGGTCCCGCTCTGATGACTGCCCGCTCTGCTGCATAATCTTCTCCCGATCCCCAAAGAGCGCTTCTTTCTCCTCTGCCCACCTTCTCCTCTCGGCGTCAAAGTTGGCGGCCTGACGTTCCCAAATCTCCTTCTCTTCCATCCACGCTTGTCGTTCTTGATCGATCTGTGATCGCTCTCGTTGCCAATTTGACTGGTCTTGCTGAGCTCTGGCGATCTGGTCCCCAAGCTGTCGGGCTTCATCGTCGAACGCTTGTTCTCTTCTTTGAAGCTCGCTGACAATCGCCTCTAGCTCTTCCACCTTCATCCGTCCTTCTTGCACATCTCGCACAAGCTCCGCCTCCTTCTCCTCGACTCCATCCAGCCTTGCTTGCATTCCTTCAAACCGGCTCATCACTTCCGCATTTATCCTCTCCAATCGCTTCACCTCCCAGCTCATCACTCCTCCAAAATGTTCCAGCACCTGTCTCCTCACGCTCGCTTCGCGATCTCTCAGGGTGAGGAGGTCCTTCTCGACAGCGGCAACCTTCTTTTCGGATTGTTCGAGGGATTCGAGGGTTTGCCTCGACATGCGTTTGTTGGAGTTGTTGAGTTTTTGGAGGGCGCGGGCGGCGGTGAGGATCTTGATTTCGCGTTGATGGCGAGCTTGGACAGAGTCCACTCGACTGGATAGTAATGACAATTCCTGTGACAGTGTCAGCGTGCAATCCAGAGTACAATGTACGGTGCTCACCTTCTTCCAGCCCTCAACGTCTTCCCAGCCGGCAATACCCATCTTCTGGCAGTCCATGACAGCCTGTCCTGCCAATAGCGACAACAGCATCTCGTCTGATCCCTCCGTCAAACTGGTATTTCCATTCTCTCTTGTAGAACGGCTCGTCCCCAGTTCACCTTCATTATCTCCCATGTTCGTCCCATATCCCCCTCGCGAATGATAGTCCCCTCGAGGCTGGCTCTCTGACGTCTCCATCGACTCGCCATAGCCAGAGTCCGAATCTCTCGGCGACAAGACACTCGGGCCAGGGACTTGCGACAACGCCGGCGTCACCAAAGGCAGCTGCCTTCTCGACGACGTTGACCCCGTCCTCGAGTGAAGCGACTTTGATCTTGATGATTGTCTGGTATGCGAATAGGGCTGGTGGGTTCGCTCGGTCGGGTAGTGTGAGGATTGGGAAGTCGCACCTCCTATTGAAGGGGCTTGGTATGATGAAGGGGCTTGGGCCTCGGGCTCGTACCGGGGATTGTTGGGGTGGGATATGCGGCGATCAAGGGTGGGACCGTGGCCATCGGTAGCAGGAGTGTTGTAGATGCTCTCCCTCTGCGGCGCACCAAGTCCGTTGCCGCCCGAATATCCACCGTCGAATCGGTCCCTATCCTCTCCGTAGCCCATCGCCCCCTCGACAGACCGCGACTGAGCGCTATTACCACTGGATGGCATGTGTAATCTGGCGTACATGGAGTCGTCGAGCTGTTCTTGCGGGTCGTTGCGAGAGCCACGCGAGTTGGCCGAGGTCGCGGAGGTGGGCGAGACGATGGGCGGGGAGCGGGCACGGAAGAAGGCGGCCTTTGTGAGCTTGCCTCCCTGGGGGGACGGGGCGGTTTGCGCCATGACGGGGATGGGCATGGAGAGTAGAGATGGGAAGAGGGAAGACGTGGCGCGTTTACGTTGTGAGTGGTCCTGGCGCATGTTTTGTTTGTTGTTCTCAGAAATTCGCATTACGTAAATCATTACCCTGTGATAATCGTCACTTTGTAGTCACCTTCCGGACAGTTTCCGGTCCCGCCGTGCTAGCCTGATCTGCATCCCGGTCAACAGCCAGCCAGTGCAGCCAGAGCGGTGCACATGAGAGATTTGCACACTATCAAAATACATTCATTGCAGGAGACGCCCCTGTCTACGTCCTCGAACCCTTCATCTTGGCGATAGCAGCTGGCGTCCTCTTCTTTCCCTTCTTCGCCACACCCTTCCTCGCCGCACTCGTCTTCTCTCGCTCTCCCTTTGTCAAAGTCACCTTCACCTTGCCCTTTGACATGTCCCTCTCCGCCGCGTTCTTCGCCTTCTTCTTGGCCAACCTTCGCGCTTGCCTGTCGGCGTCGGCCGACTTGAAAGTCTTTCGTTCCTCTTTGGAAAGATCCTTGAGCTTGTCACCCAGAGCAGGGTCACCCTTCGGAACAGCACCAGCTTTGACGCGGGGTTTGGAAGCCTTCTTCGCCTTGCCGTCCTTGGCGGCAGCAGAACCGAGCTTCTTGATGGTGTTGTTGAGGGTGTTGGAAGAGGGAAGGGTTTTGCAAGGCTGGACACGAAGCTTGCGCTTGGCAAACTTGATCTTGTCCTTGTCCATCGCAAGCACTTCGTCTACACTTTCCCGGTCCTGTCATAGAGAGTCAGCTCTTGATCATGATATAATCATGTGGGCTTACGGAAAAGTGTACATAGGCAAAGCCTTTGCCCAACTGAGTCTCCTTATCTCTTACTATTCTTACACCGGTCACCCACTTGCCAAGCTCCTTGTTCTGGCCTCGCTCGGCCTTGACCAGCTCTTCAAAGTACACTCTCAAGTCTTCCTCCTTGGCGGCATAATCCAGTCCACCGACAAACAGACTCTTCTTAGGGTCCGCATTGCTGGGCAACCAGGCGTCTCGCTTGCTGAGGGCGCTGGTCGCAGAGGCAAGACCAACGGACGAGGGAAGTCGAACAGTGTCGAAACGGAGAGTACGGGAGAGGAAGGTGGAGGCATTGGCGGAGGAGATGACCTCGGTAGCAGCGTCGTAAGGGTTCATGACGGGAGCGACATTGGCAGAACGGTCGGGGTGAGGGTGACCGAACACAACGTAGGCGTTACAAGAGTCGATGTCGGGGTGGAACTGTTGATAGAGTCAGATCATATTGTTATAGATTATGCGTAAACTTACGTCTTTCTTGATGAAGGCGACCTTTCTCTTTCCCTTGGCGTCAATGAACACCTTGTGCTCGTCGACCGCCTCGTCATTCTTGTCATCCTTCTTTCTCCAAGCAGCGGTCCTTAGCTTCTCCCTCTTGGCTCGGCTGATAGCATCCTTCTCCGGATCCTCGGTAGGTACAGAGTCGGTGGGAGTTGCAAAGGCGACAGAACGGAATCGGACAGACTCAATCTTGGCAGTAGGGACGAAGGACTTGATGTGTGCCTTGAGTTGGTTCAAAATGGCCTGTGACAGAGTTAGTAGTTCACCACGAAGGTTGTAGATATACATGCCTTGGACTTGGCAGCGTCAATGGGCAGGTTACCGATAAAGACGGTTCTCCTGTTCTTGTCCGCAGCAGACTCCTCTTGAGGAACGAATTTCTCAGCCTTAGCCTTCTTGGCCCTCCTGGCCTCTTGAGCAGCTTTAGCAGCTTCGAGCGCCACCTCGTCGTCCTCGTCTTCGTCCTCGTCCTCGTCCTCATCTTCGTCCTCTTCCTCTTCATCAAGCTCGCTCAAAGTGGCCGCATTGCTCATGGCGTCGTCGTCGTCGCTGATATCTTGAGCTTCCTCATCCACCTCATCCTCATCCTCGGACTCGGATTCGAATTCGGGCTCAGGCTCGGAAGCAGGGGCGGGAGCAGACTTCTTGCCCTTCTTAGCGACAGGCGCAGAAGCCTCTTGCAGATGAGCCTTCGAGCTGCTTGCTACGGGAGCAGAAGGTGCAGGTTGGGCGAATGCACTCTGTATGAAGATCAGCTCTGTTGCTCTGCTCTATAGGGTCAACGAGAGACTTACGCTTTTGGCAAAGATATCATCAAGCTCGGTGTCCTTCACGCCGCCAAAGAGCGACGCTGGGGCCTGCTCCTGGGCCTTTTCCTCGGTATCTCTCTTTCTCTTGTTGTTCTTGTCCTTGATGGGGGCCTTGCCCTTGGCTGCTGCTGACTTGGCCATGTTGTCGTTGGAGGTGCAGTCGATTTACAGCCGAGTTCCAAAATTTCAGCAGCAGTGAACTGGCAAAAACAAACCTTTGCACAAAATCATAAATGCGTCCCACACTTTACGCGTGCTAATGTTTATGAGCAACTCAATTGTCCTCTTGCATCGTCACGGCCAGCGAATAACGTCCCCCCTTGGCCCCACACAGACTGCGTCAAGAGGCAGCCGGGTCTGCCATCTGTGAAAAAACGACTACCAAACGGTATCCGAACACGGCCTCCCTGGCGTCCCTTTGTCACCGCGAGCTTCCCTTGAATCCATTTCCGCATCGATATAACCACAACCTTCTCTGTACAAGTCCCAATCTGTGCGTCTCTGCAACAGCGCATCTTCATCCTTTATCTATAACTCTATTTGTATTAACGCGCAACAGGACTCCAATATTCAGCACAATGGCCGGTATCAACGACGCCATGGACATTGACTCTCCGGTCGCGTCAGCTTCAAACCAGCCAGCTCAGTTCAGCACTCCCGTCGCCCCCTTCCCTTCACACGCCCCTTCCACTTCACTCTTTGCTCCTTCCAACGCCCCATCACCCGCGCCTCGCCAATCTATGACTCTCGTCAACAATGCCCAGGCCCGTATACCACGAACAGGCTACATCTACGACCCCCTCATGATGCTTCATTGTATGGAGGGCTATATCCCCACGGGCGAGGATGTCAAGGATGCCGGTGAAGGTCACCCTGAAGATCCGATGAGGATCAAGAGAATCTTCACCCGGCTGGCAGAGAATGGGTTAATCAGGCGGATGAAGCGATTGGAGTTTCAACAAGTCCGGTTCGATCAGGTCATGCTGGTGCATAGCGAAGAGATGTGGGACAAGGTGCAGGCTACAGAAAGTGGGTACGACGACCTTTCACCGGATCCCGTGCTGATGCATTACAGACCTCGGCGATGAAGAAGCTATAGAGCTTAGAGAGTATTACGAACAGCTCTCTCTGTATGTCTGTCCCGAGACTGCCCATTGCGCTCGTCTGTCGGCCGGTGGTGTCATTCAAGCTTGCCGTTCAGTCTGCACTGGCGAGGTCAAGAATGCTTTCGCTATTGTTCGACCTCCGGGACACCACGCCGAGCCCAACGAGCACATGGGTTTCTGTTTCTTCAACAACGTCGCGGTGGCTACCCGAGAAATGCAAAGAGAAGGATTGGCCAAAAAAGTCTTGATTTTGGATTGGTGAGCTTTACTTTCGTCTCTGGTGATCTAGCTCATTGGTCACAGGGATGTGCATCACGGAAACGGAACACAACGAGCCTTTTACGAAGATGGAGACGTCCTCTACATGTCTCTTCATCGACACGAAGGCGGCACTTTCTACCCCAACAGCGACTTTGGCTCTCTCAACATGGTCGGTACCGGCGAGGGTCTCGGAAAGTCTGTCAACGTCCCGTGGCCCGGACCTGGGTTCGGAGACGGCGATTACATCTACGCTTTCCAAAGGGTCATCATGCCTATCGCTTACGAATTCGACCCCGACCTAGTCATCATTTCTGCCGGTTTCGATGCTGCCGAAGGCGACTCGCTGGGACAGTGCCATGTCACTCCTACAGCATACGGTCACATGACACACATGCTCTCCTCTCTCGCTGGAGGTAAGCTTGTTGTAGCCTTGGAAGGCGGATACAACCTCCACGCCATCTCGAACTCTGCCCTAGCCGTCACCAAGGTCCTCCTGGGCGAAATTCCGCCAGCATTGTCCAAAGTTCCCAGGGCGTCGGAAGCAGCAACAGAGGTTGTGTGGCAGGTGGCAAAGGAGCAGAGCAAGTATTGGAAGACCCTTGATTTGAAGGCGTGCGAGCCCCCAGAGGGTACGTCAAAACTGCGTCTGGTCATTCTGGACTGACGTCGTGTAGTGAATGCGACAGCCGAAGGTACCCCTGCGGTCTACAACATTGCCGACCTTCTCAAGGTTCATCGCGCCCATTGGATGTTTGAAAGGCACGGCTTGTACCAGATCCCGTTAGCCAGTCCTGAACTGGAAGCTGCTTTCGGTGGACAAGTCATTTGCAAGTGCGTCTGATTCAACTATTAACATCATGACTTTGAGCTGACGCGCTTTGGTAGCGAGGGTGTGTACGAAGCTGGACGGAAAGGCGTTTTAGTGGTCTTCGTCCATGACTTTGGTAATCTGCGGGTTGAGATCGAAGGCGCTAGATCGACCAACGTCCACATGACCAACTCTTACCTCGTGCGTCTATCCAACAGAATGACGTCCCATGCTCATCGAGTGTAGCTTGATACAACAGACGCGATCGTTTCGTGGGTTCAAAGACAAGGATACAATCTCATCGACATCAACGTTCTCAAACAGTTACCGACTGCGTATCCTGTATGGACACCTCGTCATATCGGTAAAAACCTACTGACAGAATAAGCAGGAAGGGCCCAAAATGGTCAGCAAGAAGGGCGGGTCCAAACTGGAATCGACATTGCTGAAGTATGTCTGGGATAATTACATCGAGTGCGTTCCTTGGTGTTTAGCTCGTGTTTCTCAAGCTAAACGTTGTCAAGACTGTCCGAAGCAGAAAAAGTTGTCTTTATAGGGCATGGGTCGGCCTGTCACGCCCTCATGGACCTTGTCAATGAGCGCATGGTGGAGTCCAAGGTCAAAGCTGTCGTCCAAGTTGCTGGCCTGCATTCATTAGTTCGTCCTACTCCGACCGATAGCGACAAGCTAAAGTGGTTCAAATCCGTGAGTGGCTGGTGAAGGAATCGACACGTGGACTCTAATGTAGAGCAGATCAATCAAATATATGTGCCAGCGGAGCATGTCTTGTTGGATGATGACAAGGTGATGCGGAGGTTGGGCGATGCGGTCTTCACATCACGTATGTCCAGCTTTCTTCATATAAAGGGCACTTGCTGATGATCGGTGCAGAAAAAGCAAAGGTCGTCGATGTCCTTAACGAGTCTCTCCCCCGAATCAAGCAATTTGTTTACCAGAAGCTGGAAGATGTAGCGGAGATAGAAGCTCCATCAGGTGATGAAGGGTTTGGGTCAGGGCTGGGACAGGCCAATGGAGTAAATGGACACTCCACGGAATAGTTTCGTGGGAAGATGTGCTTGTAGAGGCTTTGTTGTATTCCATTTTCCGTATACTCAGGTGCGATCTAGACTTTCCAATGCATGGACACCGACTTGACGCTCACAATCGACTGATATAACTACAAGCATACAGTGACTGAATCTATGCAGGAACGTCGGTAGTAGGTCAGCGCGCTTTGACCAGGCTTTGAGTGACAGGGACGACAGGGCGTCGCAGTTTGCCGACTCCCTCTCTACCACCCTGACGACCGCAGATATACTTCAGGCATCGACCCGCTTTGGAGCATTCAAGGGTATGCCCCAGCCACTCGCACGGTGGTAAGACTTAACTTGAGGGCACGCTTGGGGCTGTCCTTTGGGGCTCTCAGACGACAATATGCCTCAGGCCCACAGCCCATATGCCATCTGTGCATGGCTGGCTATGCCTCCGTTCTACTATATAAGTGTGAGTTATGATCGTGGCCCTTGACCCTCAGATATACTGATACTCTTTTTTGCTCCTCTTAGAGACTTTCGCTGCTATGACTGTTGCTGCTCAAGAAAATCCGCTCCCAGCATTTCATTTGCTGGTTATTCCAGCCACCTTTTGGTGAGCGCCCATCTGTGACTCGTTATCGCCAATCGGGACTGACACTGTCGCTCAGGGGGCACATGCGTCCACTCTTCCATCTTATACTCAACCTCCTCAAGCTTCACCCCCACATCCGAGCCACCATCCTGCTCTCTCCAGCTACCTCTGACCGTATGATTAAGGATCTCAACGCTTTCACAAACAGTGAGAAGAAACTGCAGAGCAGAGGCGGTACGGGATCGATCTCGGAACACCTACAAGTAGTCACTTGCGGTAAAGATAGCACGGTTGTCTACGATGCCGCCGCGGCTCAGAAGGACATCGAAGACTACTCGACCGTGTTACCCGGGTTTATCAAGGAAATCTTCTCCGGTGAGAGAGATTTAGGGTACGGTCGAAACAACCGCTTCGCATCGATGATTCCGACCAAAATCATCATGGATGTAAGTCACCGTCCTATCAGGAGGGACACCTCTGACGGTCTGTACAGATGTGTCAGTTTACGGTCCCAGACATTCTGCGAAAGGCCGTCAGCGAAGTCGACCAGCCCATGCCTCCGGTGCTTGTGTTCTGTCCCATCAGCTTCTCGGCCATGTACTCGTGAGTCTTATCTGATGACTAGCTTAAAGTGACGCTGATGAGATTGCAGTATGTTCGTCACAAATGGTCTGCAAGGGATGTATGGAAGAGTGTTGAGGAATATTGATCGAGATGTTGCAGCGGGGATACCCGTCAAAGATGCATATGCAAAGGTGAGTCGGCAAGCAGGGTATCGGTGTATGTATAGCGCCTGAGATAGCTGGCATAGCGATCTTTCGACTTTCCCGGTGAGGTGGTCAAGTTTATCGACATTCCCTACAAGTATGACTGTGAGTGGCACCTCTGCTCAGAATGCAATCATCACATGCTGATCAATTTACAGATGAGCTGGGTATGTGCCGCCATGTCGAAGAATACTGTGCCGGCGCTGACTCTTACTGCTAGAACCGCATTGGGCTTTGCAAGAGATCCCAGTAGAAAGTCTGATGGCGTTTTTCCCCATTTACCACACCATGTTCGACCCAATCGTCAGTGGTTTCATCATGCCCTTCACTGGCGAGTTTGAAGCCGAGACTATCAAAGTCATTGAGAAGGAAATGGGGAAGCCTTTGTTCAGCGTCGGGTAAGTCATATATGCCAAGCAATGACAACAACAGAGCTCATCCGTCAATCGTGCAGTCCGCAAGTCCCAGCCGATATGTGGAACAACACTTTGCAGAGGGAGATCGCTAGTGACGACGACAGAAAGGCTCTAACTTTTCTGGACGATATGGAGACCGTACATGGGCCCAAATCTGTCTGTTATCTCAGGTAAGTCAGCTCTTTTAGTCTTCCACTTCACATGAACCAAGAGCCAGGTTGATCTCAATGTCAGCTTCGGGTCCCTCTACTTTCCTCACCGTCGACCGGACATCATCCGCTGGATGTTGCAGACACTCCAAGAGGCCGGTATACCAGTCCTCTTTGCTCTTTCCCTCGGGCCTCAAAGCCGTCCCCCAAGATTTCCTCGACGAATTCAAAGACTTCAAGGACTACTGCCATGTCACTTTCGCGCCTCAATGGCAGGTATTGAACCATGCCGCAACCGGCTTTTTCATTGTACGCATCAATACCATTGTGAGATAATCTTGTAATCATGCTGACGCAAGATTTTCCAGACCCATTGTGGTAGTAATAGTACATCAGAGGTGAGTATATCCAAGAATCATGAAGTGATACTAACACTTCCAAAGACAATCCTCGCAGAGGTTCCCATCGTTGCTATGCCCTTCTTTGGCGATCAAGGCGAGATTGCTGCCCTCCTCACCGAAGTCTTCAAGATCGGCATTGACATCAAGCAAACCAAAACGTTCACCAATCCAGCTCACAACACCCTTTACGATGGCACCAAGATCGTCGGAACGGAGGACGCGATCAAGGAAGAGATGAGGGGTATCTGGGTCTGGATGACGGGGAAGGAGGGAGATGAGATGAGGAAGAGGGTGGCTGAGTTGAAGCAGGGGATCAAGCAGAGTGTTGCGAGTGGTATGATAGGAAGGGACTTAACCAAGATCGGACTTGGCGAGTGGGCATAGATGTACATACTATCCTCGCACATACAACACATCATCCATAGCAACCCTGCTGAGATGCGTTTGAGTTTTTTCAAAAAAATGTCCTACCATAGGCATATGTCACATCATTGACTGAACGAACGGAAGCTGCTGTGAAGCCACTCGTATTCACAGAGTGCCCAGTCTCGGCTGGATAGGCATAGGCTCAGACGCGATATGGTAACCGACGGGGCGATAGAGCACGACCGCCCTGGCTGGCCCTATGTATGTATACATGATTTGGTTACATGCTTGTATCGTCGATCGTCGAGTCACCTTACGACGGAGACACAGCTGCGACTACTGTGTTTGGATATACATCGTAGCCTTACATGGACTGAGCCCTTTGGGGTTACCATCAGAGCTTCTGCTCTAGGAACTGGGTCCTTCTGGCTTCCGGGACAAGCTAGCAGCGACTAGCCTCAGTCAACAGCGCGGTAATAACATCTTCCCATCAGCATACATACGAACTTTCCAGTCGCTGTACTGCGAGACATATAAGCCAGCCGTTGTATAGCAGCTGAAGCCCATTCTCGCGACAGTTCTTCGCGGCGCTTGTGGATATTCACTTCTCACAGTAGCTATCATGACTCTCACTGTTGCCGCCCCCACTCATGTGGTAGCTATTCCTGCAGCCTTCTGGTCAGACGGTTATTGTCCTGTCTACTATACTCCATACTGACTTACATCACAGGGGCCACTTGCGGCCCATGTTGAATCTCCTCCTCAACCTCCTCAAGATCCATCCCAACCTTCACATCACGGTCTTCATCACCCCCTCAATCTCATCCCACATGCTGGTTGACCTCTACGCTTTCCAGAACAAGACAGACTCCGGATCAGGCAGGCTCCTGGTCATCACTTGCGGAGAGAAGCCACCCGAGGATACGTTTGTAACTCCTGATTTCACCGAGGAGGTCGATAACTATGCGAAGATATTGCCAGCTTTTGTTAAAGGTGTCTTCGAAGGGAAAGCTGATCTGGGTCATGGGAGAGTCAACAAGTTTGCCCATGTCGTACCAAGCAAGATCATCTTCGACGTGAGTTAGACATGGTGTGGTAGTAGCCATTGTCCAAGGTTGAAACTGACGCTTGTGTTGCAGATGTGCCAAACCTTCTTTCCGGCCGAGTTGAGAAAGATCGCCAAGGTCCTCCACATGCCTATACCTCCTCTCTTCATTTTCACACCTTTTAGTCTCGCCTCACTCTACCAGTTAGTCTTCTGCCTCTATGTTCAACGGCCTATCTGACCATCAATCATATAGACTTTTTCTCGAAGGCGGCGATGGCAGATATGGCCGGATCCTCAAGGCCGTGGAACGAGATGTCAGCGCAGGTATCGACATTGCTGAAGCATATACCAAGGTATGAAATCGAGGCAGCTATGCGCGATACAATTACTTATACAGTATCCCCTTAGCGACCTTGGGAATTCAATGGCTCCGTGATCACCCCACCCGACCTGCCATCCAAGTTTGACTGTAAGCACCTGTCAACAGCTCACCGCTCAGCTTCAACAGCTCACGAAAAGTATAGATGAGTGGTGTACGTCTGATACAATCATATACTCTCCATTCCAACCACGATCAGTCTGACAACAATTTTGCAGGGCCTCTGATGATCACTCAAGACACACCGGCTCAAGCTACTATGGGCTTCATCCCGACACACAGCGCTTTCCACGATCGAGATGTTGTCGGTGTTGTAGTGCCGTTCATTGAAGAGCTGGAGCCGAAAGCCACTTCGACTTTAGAAGAGCGTTTGGGAAAGTCTATCTATGCCGTTGGGTGAGTGATCTGTGCTGCCTGTTATTCCGGGGAACCCCGGCGCTGATGACGCGATGTTGTAGTCCCCAGCTGCCAGAAGAAATGTGGAATGGAACCGTATCTCAAGTCGCTCCTGATGCCGATGGGCAAAAGGTGATCCGATTCTTGGACGACCTGAAGGTCAAACATGGCTCGAGGTCTGTCGCCTACGTCAGGTAAGACACAAAATATACCACCTGCTGCTTCTCTCCTTAAACAACTTGCAGCTTTGGCTCCCTCTTCTTTCCCTTCACCCGTCCCGAGCTCGTCACGTACCTTCTCCAATCCCTTCAAGAATCCAGCACGCCATTCATGTTTGCTCATCCTTCTGGTTTGAGACCTCCGCCGACAGGGCTGATTGAACCCTTTGAAGGATTGGAGGACGTCTGTTTAGTAAAGTTTGCTCCGCAATGGCAGGTGTTGAACCATGATGCTACTGCGTTCTTTGTTGTGAGTACACCACTAACTCATGTCATGGCAAAATTGACGCTCTCCAAGACTCATTGTGGTAGCAACAGCATGTCCGAGGCAAGTCTAATCTCCCCAAAAAGAGTACCTAGTAGTTGCTGACTATTCTCGACAGACACTCCTCTCTGAAGTCCCTGTTGTCACAATGCCTTTTGGAGGCGACCAACCGGAGATCGCCTCTCTTTTGACTGATATTCTCCACGTCGGTATCGATCTCGAACAGTGCAAGACCTTCAATGACCCCGCTTTCCGTACCCTTCATGACGGCACCGAAGTGATTGGTACTGAAAAGGCCATAAAAGAGGAGATGAAGGAGGCCTGGGTCAGAATGAAGGCATCGGACGGAAGCGATATGCGACTGAGAGTTAAGGAGGTAAAGAGTAGGCTTAGGGATAGCTTGGCCAACGGACGAGCTGGGCGCGATATGGTGAAGCTTGGTCGAGTAGACTAAGCGCTGTCGAGCCGTTGTCAATGTCGAATCTGTCAATGATATCGTTCTGAGTTCCTCGAAGCGAAGAGTTCACTGTTTATATATGTCCAACAAACCTAGCTACAATACAGTCTCCGACCAGATGAACAATGCACATACGGGTATGAATTAGCAACGGCCATAGTTTAGCGGATCGCAGATCGCGTATTGCAACAGACAGGCAGACAGCAGACAGGCTCGATATGATACATGTGTGCAATATCAATGGCTGAGGAGAGATAGAATGTCACCAAGTACTACATAAAATAAACACCAAGCACGGCAGCCCTTGAAATACCTTGGTCCTTGGCCGACCCGGCACTGCAGCGGCATTGCCTCCTCCTATTATAGCTCGAGTCGCCGGGAGCGAGGTGGTGACCGAACGACGAGGCAGCACTGCCGAAACTGCGATCTAATAAGATTCCTGAGGCGGTGAGTTAGGGTCTGATTGCGCGGGGTTGAGCACTGATAACCCTTTTGCAGGTGGCCATCGCATGATGCTTGTGCTTATACGAAAGTCGGGCATCCGAGCACGCCTCGGAGATCGATCTGAGGACGCGACGCGACGCGTACAAACCGTGGCCTGAAGCTCCACTGAATAGCAAGTTCGAGCGAATGTCCAAGGCCGCCTAGTGCTCCTAGTACTCTGTAACATGCTATACATAAGTGCACGCTTGTATCTAAGCCGCACTCAAGCATGGACCAGTATCGTGCCCTTGGCGTCCGAGTTCCTGCTCGGCCAGGCGGCCTGCTCCGGGCATGACACAGGGACTTCCTCTTTCCCAGACGAGCTAGCAACAACTAGCCTCACTGATACAGCAACAACATCGCATCGGTTCAGGCCACAAAGCTTCATCGCAAGATATATAAAAGACAGTATACACATGTACGTATAGCAGACAGCCACCACCGCCGACCTTCACGGCTATACATATTGCGTAGCCAGATACGTCGTGGGCACAACAGACTCGAAGCCTACTCGAAGCCTTCTTGAAGCAGCTATTATGACTTTCAACGCCCCACTCCATCTGATAGCTATCCCTGCCGCCTTTTGGTAGGTTGGTTTTTATCGAATGGGATGAAATGGCTTCAAGTTGTTGACGTATTTGACAGGGGGCACATGCGACCCATGCTCAATCTTCTCCTCAACCTCCTTAAGACCCATCCAAACGTTTATATCACTGCCTTCCTCACACCCTCTATCTCGTCTCATATGCTGGTCGACCTTCAGTCGTTCATCGCAAAGGAAGACCAAGGCAAATCTGGCTCCGGATCAAACAGACTCCAAATCATTACTTGCGGGGATCAGCCTCCTGAGGATACTTTTGTGACCCCTGATTTCGCTGAGGAGGTCAAGAACTATGCGAGAATTCTGCCAGAGTTTGTCAGAGGCGCCTTGGAAGGGAAGACCGACCTGGGCCACGGGAGGATCAACAAGTTCGCCCATACTACGGTACCAAGCAGAATTATCTTTGACGTGAGTGATCAGACTTGGACCGCCTTTATCCGGATCATCATCCAGGCCGAGACTGGTACTGAGGCTGATCAATGCCATGTAGATGTGCCATACCTTCTTCCCGGCCGAGATGAGGAAAATTGCCAAGGCCATCAACCTACCTGTACCGCTCCTCTTCATTTTCACACCTTTCAGTCTGTCGGCGCTTTACCAGTGAGTAATTTCCACCATCTCTAACTGGACTGCAAGAAGTCATTTAGACAGCAATCATGCAGTCTTTACATCGAAGGCGGTAATGGCAGCTTTGGAAGAATTTTGAAAGCTGTGGAACAAGATATCAGCGATGGTATTGACATCATTGAGTCATACAAGAATGTAAGGAGTTGTAGCGACTACTATGGTTCGTTGTACTGACACTGCTACAGCGAGCTTCAGGATTTCTCAACGGATCTGTGACCACCCCCCCCGATCTACCGACCAAGTTTGACCGTAGGTCCCAAAAAAGACCGCGCCGACGCAGCCGCTAACCGAAACTGTAGACGAGTGGTGTACGCATATTCTACACATACACATATCAGCCCTTCCCCCAGATGCCTAATTGTACCTTATAGGGCCTCTGATGATCACGCAAGACGCCCCCGCTCAAACCACCATGGGTTTTATCCCGTCACACGGCACCATTCACGACAGCGATGTTACCGGGGTCGTAGTCCCATTCATCGAAGAGCTAGAGCCAAGATCTACGGCAACTCTGGAGAAGGAGTTGGGGAAGTCAATCTACGCCGTTGGGTAAGTGTACTGTGATTTCTTCGTGTATCATCGTACTCCAGCGCTGATGACCTAATGTCATAGCCCGCAGTTGCCTCAAGAAATGTGGGATGGGACGGTATCTCAGACAGCGCCTGATGCCGAAGGTCAGAAGGTAATCAGGTTCTTGAACGATATGAAGATCAAACATGGCCCCATGACTGTCGCATACGCCAGGTAAGCTCAAGAGGTCCATCACAAGACTTTGCTCCTTACGCATCCCACAGCTTTGGCTCCATTTTCTTCCCCTTCACCCGTCCCGAGATCGTCACCTATCTTCTCGAATCTCTTCGCGAGAAAAACATGCCGCTGGTCTTTGCCTATCCATCTGGATTGAGACCTCCGCCACCCCGGCTGCTCGAGCCCTTTGAAGGCTTGGAGGATGTGTGTTTGGTAAAGTTTGCACCGCAGTGGCAGGTCTTGAACCACGAGGCTACTGCATTCTTCGTCGTAAGTATACCCCTCTATCATGCCGCTTCAACAGAGCTGATGCTATTACAGACTCATTGCGGTAGCAACAGCATGTCAGAGGTAAATCAAATCCTAATATCACAACACGGCACTTCTTTACAGCGATTGATTCTTCCCCTTGATAGGCGATCCTCTCCGAGGTACCTGTTGTCACGATGCCCTTCGGGTGCGACCAAGCGGAGATCGCCTCGCTACTTACAGATGTCCTTCACGTCGGGATCGACCTCAAGCAATGCAAGACTTTCTATGACCCCGCTTTCCGTACCCTCTACGACGGCACCGAAGTGATTGGTACAGAAGAGGCTATCAAGGGAGAGATGAAGGAGGTTTGGGAAAGGATGAGGGGAACAGAGGGAGAGGTTATGAGAACAAGGATCAAGGAGGTCAAAAGCAGGCTGAGGGAAAGCTTGGCCAATGGGCAAGCTGGGCGGGATATGGCGAAGCTTGTAGGTCGAGTGGACTAAGCGCCGCGTCCGTAGTCGATACCATTGAAGTTCGTCGCCGAGTAAAGCGATTGTCCATATACAGAGCGTACAATGCATACTAGATATTACGGAACCTGCAGCTCGAATGCGCCACTGTGGAAATGGGAGCAGACGCGTTCGCAAACTCAGTCAACTGTGTACAACGCATCGCGTTTATGCTTGGTATCATTGAACCAACATATGTTTACCACTCTATTGTTGGAAAGCCATTGGACGGCCAGGCTCCTAACAAAAGGACCTGCACTGCACGACAAAAAGAAATGCAAAAAATCAGGTGTCACAGGGATTCGAACCCTGGTCGATTGGATTTTTCAGTTCCAGAGAATTACTCAAAACCAAACGTCCTAACCACTAGACGATGTCACCAATTACGTTCGAAGTAATTACAGTTGAGATATAATCGCAGTCACAAATTGCAGTTACAAACATATTGTCAAGGGGGGTGTGCTTGAATGATATTTTATCCATCTGGCTGCAGATAAGGCGCCAATATACGGGACTCGTGAATCGTATGTTCGTCCGGTCAACCTCAGCCTATTGCCATGCCCCATCAACACATTATGTACACTGTACACGTATAACATACAAGTTCTGCTGCAGGAGATGGGACTTCGTGAGAGAGCTTGGAAGTCGGGGTCCATAATGGACCAATACACTAGCGGTCTCCTCATGCTGACTCTCTGTGGTACTCTAACATTTGTGTACCGTTCCAGAATATCCGGCAGCCTTCTTCCTCTTTACCACACTGAGGCAGAGTGCTCGACATTATGATATTGAAAAACAATGACATATGTAGGTAATTCTTATCACAAACCATCATGGTGACATCGTCTAGTGGTTAGGACGTTTGGTTTTGAGTAATTTCCTTGGAACTGAAAAATCCAATCGACCAGGGTTCGAATCCCTGTGACACCTGATTTTTTGCATTTCTTTTTGCTTACTTCATCGCACTTGCTGCCTTGTGCTGTGCTGTACATAGGTGCAGTTCATCTTCACGCTCATGTGGTGGGTACTCATACAAAGGTCCTCATACGCGAAAACCTGCACGCCATGTCTGTCGGCATCTACTTTAGAATGCCGAGATCCCTACTCGTAAAGATCTTGAAAAACTTCACAAATTTCCAGCGAGACCGGGGAACCCAACAAGACGTATGTGCGACGGTCACACAAATCCGCATCGTTCTTCCCCAACGGAGGATGATTTACGCCCAGCGTGAAAACGACGCCCAGCGCTCACAAGGCCCATAGACCGTCGGATAGTACGTACGCAGCGCTCACAAGGTTCATGAACCGTCGGGTAGTATGCAGCTACACGTTCACATATAGTACGCAATCCTATAGCACATGCGATGAAGAGGACGAGCCAGTGAGCAAAGAGTAAACAGAGGATCTAAGCTACGGAACAGGACTATCAAACACCCGCCGTCTTCTTTCCGAACATTCCGATGCCAGGGATGATAGGAATTATAAACAAAGAGAGTTTTGGGCCATTCTCGACTACCATGCGCCAAGACCTCACCCATGTGCAGTCGGAAGGATCTACGGGAAAGAGACCGGCCTAAACGGAATGTCAAAGAACAATGGGGGCGATCGACAGAGAACTAAGCTTAAAAAGAGATCTTTGGGAGAGATCCGCCACTCTCGTCACCGCAATTTTCGCCAGTCTTTTTCAACTGATTGGCTTTTTTTTGGGTCCGCTGTTGACTCGCGCCGAGATCTCTGTTCTGTCGGAATCTGACGCATGGGTTCTTCGGGTGAGTAACTCTTACCACAAAGAGTACGTATACTTTTTTTTTGATCAATCTTCGCTTAACCTTACTCCTTTTACTGGAATCTTGTGCAAAAAGAGATCTCATCTCTTCTTTGCGGTCGGCTTTGTCTCTTTCACTCGCTTGGCCTGAACACCGTCACACTCCCGTCACTCATTCGACTCACCCCATTTTTCGGGCGACATACTCTTTCGGTACATCATGTGTCCTGCAGGCTCTCCGACTCTACCCTTACAAAAAGGGGCATCATGTCGTACACATCCCTATGTTTACACCTCGACCCTTGTTGCTCGTGTCCGCTTCAGAGGGATGAGATTGCATTCCATGTCCGCTTCACTCTTCCATGCTTGTCATCGTTATACCTCCACCCCAAACCTCCACTCTTCCCGTCCACCCGGCTCCACCGGCCACCGGCTTCACTGCACTAGGCCCTCTTCCCGACCTCTTCTTCCGCTAGAACGATCTCTTTCCCGCCTACCGTTCCCGTCCTGCCCCTCACCCCGAAAGTCAGTGCATACCCAGGCGGCAGCTCTGTACCCGCCGGGGGCAGCTCCAACACTGGCCAGCTCGCGGCTTTGGGCTTTGTGAGGGTGATCTCAACCTTGGTGCCGAGGATGCGGTAGGACGAGTCGGCAGGGGAGATGGGGCCGTACAGGGTGATGGTCTTTTCGATACGGCGGAGGGAGGGGAGATGGAGCGAGAGGTGAAGGGTCGTGTCGGTGAATGTGACTTTGGACAGCTGCTTGTCGGCGCTAGGCGAGAGTTAGTGAAGAGCCAAAAGGGTTGGTACCGACTGACGTACTTTTTGGCAAATGCAGATACGTGCACTTGTGTAGGTGTCTGATAGTGATCGACTCTACAGTCTACGAATTCTTCCTTGGTCTTTCCGCCCATTAGCGTCTGACGCCAATCCCTCGCGCTGAAACCTACCTCGTCCTTTTTCTGGCCCACAAAAAGGTGCTTGCCCTCCTTACAGCCCTTAATCTTGATGAACTCGTCAAACTCCAACACCCTCCGCTTGCAGCACAGGTACCCTTTCGATCCTTCATGGAAGACCGCCTTCCCTTTCATCAGCACTCCTTCATATAGTGACAAGTGGGCACTTACAGATTGGGGATGGTACCGACAAGTAGCCTTCTCCCCCTCCCCTCTCGAAACCTCCTCCCCCTCCCAAGCGGCCCCACAAGCCGTCCTTCTACACCTCGCACCTTCGGGCACGGGCAACGAAAGGTCATCCTCCTCCTCTTTCACTTCCTTCTTCTCCTCTGCCGCTCCCTTCTTCTCACCTCCCACTATGGCCGCTGCAGGGGCAGGGGCAGGGGCGGGCGCAGGCGCAGGGACGGGGAGAACAGGCGCCTGGTCAACTGCTTTAGGGCCGGAGCCGTACGTCTCGACACCGTCCTTGGAGCTCGTCATAGCGGGGGCGGAGTTGGCAGTGTCTGGCTTTTGGGCGGGGGCGGAAGGTGCGGCGCGAGGGGCGGATGTGTGGGTACCGGTTGTACAAGGTGGGAGCTTCATGAAGGCGTCAAACTCGAGCACAGGCTACAACACTGATTGTCAGTTTCCATTCCGAGCAAGTGTTGAGGCCGCCGACCTTGTTGGTGTCTTTGCAACACGCTGTACTATCATCAGCGCCATTAATTCGATAGTTGGAATTGGACTTACACCATGACTTTAAACCCTCATGAAAAACCTATTCTTGTTCAATATATCGCGTTGTCAAATCACTCGACACTCACAGGTCCTCCGGGATGATAAGCACAAGTCCCCTCCTCCTTCTTCTCCTCGTCAAACTCTTTCTCGCAGGCTTGGTTGGTGCACTTGACAATAGCCATACTTTCGTTGGTTTGAGGGGCTCTTGAAGGTGGTATAGGAGTGACCGAGATGTTCGAGCGTCAGAGTTAGAGGTCTCGAAATGTCTAGAAGGTGGGTCACGTGATTGGTATTTGTGCGTCATTCTGAATCTTTGGATGGACATCTGAAGCTGATCTCAGGATACAGCATCGGGATCGAAGCATAAAACACATGTCGTATAGGAAGGGAATGTAGAATTAAACGATTATCAAGTGGTGTTACAATGCATACTCTCCCTGGCCTTATCTTGCCCTATCTTCTCACCATCCACAACACTATGAATATGAACAAGACGAACAACAAGAATAGCATGAACCAGCACCAATTTCCGCCTTGCCGGGTAGCCATCTTGGTCATGCGTTTGAATGTACCCGAGAGGAGAGTGGTGGCAGACGCAAACGAGTCGTTCTAATAGAGACTCAGCGCGCAGTCAAAAAGATAAGAGCGAGTGAAACACACCATGTTGCCAAGCTGAAGATTACTATCCCGCACTTCCTCTCCTATGCCCTTGGTGATCTGCCGATCACATCAGCATTACGTCCATATGCTCCAGATCTGCACGACGACTGCCGATGCCTGCCGAGCGAAACGTCCGCACTCACATCTTTCAAAATCTTGACCTTACCCAAGAGCCCATCCAGCCGTTCATCGTTCTGCCCTTCCACATCGTGCGTCGCTGGTGTGTAGCCCGAGCCGCTGCTTGCCATGCCACCGCCATAGGGTGATTCAGAGTACTGGCTCGCGGAGCTCGCTGGGCGATAGGGTGTGCCGCGGCCTGATGAGGGGCCCGAGGGTGGGTAGAGGACGTTGGAGGATGAGGAGGCGTATGTGGGGTTACGTTGGTAAAGACTTGAAGGGTGGAATAGGTGCGAGGGTCAGTTTATGGGCCACGGAAGGAGGTGGAAGAATAGGACGGAGGGTTGGAAATCTGGCAGGGGGCGGGTTTTGGAGACTCACTTGCTCATTGCGAGTCGGGTTCAATAGCACTGGCACGCTCTGTGGACAGTGGGGAGGTATGTGTAGCTTTATGCATGGGAGCATCGGCCTCAAGCAAGCCTCAAGGTGGTCGGATGCGTGGCAGAGAAGCGGGGACTGCCGCCGTGCTGGATGTGTCCGGGATGTCCTGATGCACGCGGACATTGGGCCCACGGGGGTTAGGAGGGGCGGGAGCAAAGAGTCCCTGAGCCCTGAGTCGTCGGAATGCTCCTGTTCGGATGGGTTTATACAAATAGTGCGGATCAGGACAACGGGCCCAAGACAGAGGGAGGGCGGGGTTTTCAGCCCAGGCGTGTTCCTTCGGAGCAGCTTCTTCCAGGCACGGCCACCACAGCATACTGCCCGCCTTCTGTACTTAAGCCGCATCTCTCTGCCTCTCTTGTCCCCCACAGCAGCGATGGCCTTCTCGTACTACTCCCGCCCCCGTCCCCAGCTCGACTCCCCTCCCCCCCGCCCCGCCCACCAGCCCGCCCCGGCCGCCGACCTCCACCACTCTGCCCTTCCAGCCCTCCCCCTCGAGAGCGAGCCCATGAGCAGATACCCCTCCCACTCCTACCCCCAAGCCGCCCAGCAGCAGCCACAGGGGTACATCTACCCTGATGCGTCCCCCAGCCACCAGCATCAGCCCACCATCCCTGACCCCCAGCCAGCCCTCGCCCGCCAGGTGCTGGCTTCCGGCCAGAACACCTGGTCCACCTCCTCCTCCCCTCGTTTCCAGCCCTATGCCCGCCCAGCCCGCAAGTCCCACTCCCCGAGCTCCACCTATCTCGGCAGCCCCCAGACCGGCTACCTCCCCCAGCACACCCACTCCCAGCAACCCTCGCCCCACATCCAGCCGCTCTCCATCTCCTCTCCACACCCCTCTTCTGCCCTGCCATCTCCCTCATACATGCAGTCGTCTTCAGCACCCTCTGCATTCGACCCGCCCAGTATGCCCGAACCGATGCCACTCAGCTCGGCAGGCTACGGCGTGGGCGACAGCTTGTATGACGGCACCTCTTCGTTCCCCGGCTACGTCGACCCCAGTGGGCCGGCTGCTGCTGCTGGGTCAGAGAGCAGGAGCTGGGAAAACAGCACGAGAGACGTGGCTCCAGATGTCTATGCTCAGGTATGTCTCCATTCCATGCACTCCCCTTGTTCCTCGGCCGTCCGAAAAAGGGTGCCCCCTTCTCTCCCCGCATAACGAAGGCTAACTAGATTGAACAGGCGCTCGCACTCTACACCCACATCTGCAACTCGCTCCCCTACTACGTGCCCACCTCTCAGCCTGCCCCCGACTCGTCGTCCTCGACGCCGCCGACGACATTCGACAGCATCATCGGTCTCGCAAGCGAGGGGCATAGCATTCTCAGCGGGCAGGCACCTCCGTCCACAAGCGCGATTGACATTGGCTCTTTTGGGCCGTCTTCTGGCTTTACGTCTGGCGTCGAGTCGCCGGAGGGTAGGATCGGCGGCGGCATCGCCTCTGGGAGCGCGGCGGCTACGACCTCTGCTGTCGCCACGCCGGTCACTGCCCCCGCGTCCATATCTTCGGCTGGGCGAAAGAGGCGCAACTCGGGCAGGAAAGAGCCCGCTGGCCCTCCGCCCACATGTCTCGGATGCGGTGCCACAGAAACACCTGAATGGAGAAGAGGACCGATGGGACCGAGGACTCTGTGCAATGCTTGTGTAAGTCTTAACTCGCTTATTGCATGACCAGCGGCTGACTTTTTTCCACAGGGCTTGGTGCACATGAAGCTGCAGAGGAAGAAGAGAAAGGCGGAAGAAAAGGCTGCTGCTGTCGCTGCGGCTTGATCTAATCTCTTCATCGATACCCCTTCAAAAGGCCACTCGGTCCCGCGCCTCGGCGCCCTGCATCCTCTTGCCCATCGGCACACCCATACAAGTACCACTGCATAGCCACTATATATTCAAGCATAGACTTATTGTTGTAGCACCTTTTCTCATATCCATTTTCATAATCAGCCGCCTTCGGCCTTCCTTGCTTTCTCTATACATGAGTCCTATTTCGAGCACTTTTTTTACGCCTCGAGCAAAATGTGTGTACACACGATGACCAGCTTTCTTACGGGTCTTGGGAATTCCTTCTGTCTTATGTCATGTATACAAGTGCCATGTCCAATGTCTCGTTCAAGTCTCTTCATCAGGTACAACTTGTACACTCTACCGCTACGATCTTTCCTCTTCATCTAAATTCGCCTTTTCCAACCCGCTTATCAACGCTTCAACGTCGTCGGCATCTTGTTCTTCGTCGCTAGCAGTCAAGTCTTGCGAGACCTTGTCGGCCCATTCGGCGCCCGTATGATTGGGATTGGCGACAAGCAAATCGCCGCCTTCGTTGGCCTCTGTTGTCGCTATCAGCCTTGCTATTTCTCATTCTTGATGTGTATGCAAACCTTTCAGACGTTTCCTCTCTTCTTTTTCCTCCTCCATTTCCCGTTGGATCTCCGCTTGCATCGCGTTCACTTCATCCGCATCTTTGCAGCTGGTATAGCGTTCGATCAAGTGAGCATTGAGTTTGTAGAAAGAATGGCCCCAAGAGAATTTGGAGAGCCTAAGCGCAAATCAGCGTCATCCTTGAAAGACATGGAAGAAAGGGGCTTACAGTATCTCAGCCCAGTCGGCGTGACCCGTGATGTAGAATCCAGCAGCGAGCGCTTCGACGCAGTTCAATCTCCAGGGTTTACCATAGTTGACAGGGTTGCTCGCGATCAAGAATGGTACTGATCCGTGTTAGCCATCTCATCTTCCAGTCGCGAAGAGATGACAAGAGACTCACGTAATCGCTCGTAGGGCGACTTGATCTTGTTGAAGGGCACTTCATCCAGACGAGCCCAACTACACTCGACGACTGCCAATCCGCTCATCTGCACGATCTCATCGTCATCAGGCGCGATGACCTTTTTCCCTTTCGGTCTGATGCTTCCATCAGCATTGCACAATACCAGCAACAATACTGTGACTTACGTCAAGACGATCCCTCGGAATCGCTGCCCCACACGCATAGCGTTACACAATCCATGCCTCGACAGCTTCTTTCCCGAGCACCGTTTGGGATCACAGTGATCAAAATCCCACATAGCCACAGGGACATCAATAGTTGCCTGCTGCTCCTCCTCCTCACTACTCTCTTCCCCCTCTTCAGAACCCTCGCCCTCTCCACCCTCCTGCTCCCCTCCTTCTTCTCCAGAGCTCGACCCAGACCCAGACCCTTCGCTTTCTTCAGAATCATCCGAATCAAGATTCTCCCCCGCCATAACCCTCCTGAACACTTCCTCATCGTCCATCCCTTCCCGCTTGCTCCCGACCGGGGCCCCTTGTCGCAAACCCTTCTGCCTGCCGGTCGTCGCTGCTCGACCGCCACCTCCACCCGAGGCTGAACCGCCTCTGCCTCGACCGCGTCCGCGGGCGGCGGGGCGGGAGTTGCGTTCTTTGTTTGGTTTGCCCATGAGTTCTGTCTTTGGCCAAGGTTTGGAGACGAAAAGAAAAGATGATGTGATGGAGCAGGATGGGGTCGTTGTTGATGCCGAGAATCATGAATTTTGGCTCGGGATTATATCGGGCGGATGTGACCGCTTATCATCCAACCCCTCTCTTTCCACTTGTTCTCCATCTTCCATACCCACTCTCCCTTGTCTTCTTCTATGTATACACCATAGGACCCAAAGTTGACCCAAAATGCCTGTCTGTGACGCCCCCCCTTCCGTTCAGGGCTGTTCCGCGCTCGGTGACATCGTCTAGTGGTTAGGACGTTTGGTTTTGAGTAACTCCCCTTGGAACTGAAAAATCCAATCGACCAGGGTTCGAATCCCTGTGACACCTAGCTTTTTGTTACCAGAGTCATCTTGAGAGCATGTCGATGTTCGTCCTCAGCTCAGGCGATAGACATGGCTGTGACTAGCAGATTGCATGGTAGCACTTCGACGTTCATATACACAGTTGAGAATGTACAACAAGACCAATCACCGACCCCCATGACTTGTGAGCACTACACGTCTACTCTTATTCTCTCCAGGAGAGGAATGATCTGAATCGAGTCAGCGCCACCCATTTTCCCGATGAACAAACTCACCCTGTCCCAATCATCCATCGCAGCCTGCAACATCTCCACCTGTCCATCCGCATACCCTTGCAGCGCCTCCTTCATCTCTTCCCTCTTATCCAGCTCGTAATAGTTGTGCTCCTTCAACACCTCCTCCGAGAACGCATTCGACGTCTCGTGCGCCAGCGTCACCGCCTCTTGCAACTCTACAATCTTGCCGTCGAGCTTTCGCATACGTTCGCGCCGGGTGTGGATGTCGTCGGTGCCCCGGATCTTGTCGACTTGGTCACGGAGGTATGTACCAAGACCGACTGGAGCACCGGCATGCCCGGAAGAAAGAGCAGCAAGGCGATCCCGTTCCGATACGACGGCAGACAGGTATGCGGAGAGCTCTTCAAAGTCGAGTTGTTTTTGGTCGCGGGCTTTGATGATGTTGCGATGGGCTGCCGAGTAGGCAAGTAGGGAGTGGGTTGAAGATATGAAGGGCTCGACTGTTTCTTGGTTCTGTGAATTGTCAGTGTATGACCCTTCCAAGATTGAGATACGTGCGGTGTGCTTTAAAAGACCTGAAAAGTCGACCATCTTTTCGGCGAAACGGTTGAGCGGTTCGGTAATACCTGACTCGAGATATCCAAGACCTTGATAAGCAGCGGCCATATCCAAATAATCTTGTGCCAGATCTGATCCGACGTCAGCCCTCGATCCCCAGCAGAACACCCGAGCTCACCATCAAGTCTCCCTTTCCCTCTTCCAACAACCCGATCCACTCCCGTCAACCCGTCTTCGAACCTCTCCAGCTCTTCTGTCATCTCCAAAAACCTAGCATCTGGCTTGCGTACTTTGGAGAAGGCATTGATGAATGTGTCAGAGACAGAGTCGATCAGAGAGGTATGCGAGTCGGGGGGCGGGTGGGAGATATGGTGATGCTTGGCCACCGTCCATTCGGTGGACTGGAGAAAGTCGTTGGTGAGCTGGCTACGTTGGAGGGTGGGATGGTTGGCGATGCGGTCGGCGAAGCGTTGCAAGCTGTCCGCAATTAGCCCCGTCTTGTCTGGATCATGCAGACTCACTCTTGTCGACGTTTCTCGATGAATTCTCCTGAGAATCGATCTCCTTTGATGTATTCCAGCCTGTGCTTATCTGGAATTGGAGGGACTACGCAGGCCGGGAATGCCTTCACCAGATGCTCGCGCAGAAAGACAAAGTCCTGGAACCGTCTCCTCACCACGGTGTGCTGCTTCTTAAATGTCTGGAGATTAGTCTACGGCGGGTCAGCTACACCCCGACGCATCACTGAGAGACCTACGTGGGTATGAACAGCATACGACACATACATGTCCTTACTCCCCTCGTGCTCCTTGAACGGTTCCCTTACATCCACCTTCATCCACCTCCCGTTCCACTTGTTCGCATCCACCCCTTCCCCACCTTCCGCCGCGCGCTCCTTTCTCGGCAGAGTGATAGTATCATCTCCGTCCCCTTCAAAGTCTCCTGCGTCGTCTTGAGAGGCATGAGACCAGCCCTCAGAGGAAGCGGAGGTGATATGCGGATTGTGGGATGGGATGGATTCGAAGCCCTCGTCAAATGGAGAGGACGAGTGGGAGAGGATGGATTGTTGAGACGGCTGGTCGTCCCATGCGATGGAGTGGAAACCGTCTTCGTCGAGGGGTCCGGGCATGGCGTATATGGTGAATAGAGAGAGGACGAATGGTGAGGGAGATTATGAGCGCAATCGATCATGTGGTGACATCGCCACTTGCTTGCGCGTGCGCGTGTCGCTGACAATTTCGCTCGTCTTTCGTTGTTTCTCCGGTCTTGTTGCTGTTGTACAAATCTCAGTCTGACTCGAAAGACACCTATCCGCAATACATCTCGAAACCCTCTTGGATCAAGCCTGTCGAGACCACCGCGCTCCTCGTTTCCTCATTGCGCAACAAGCCGCAGAAGAGGGAGACCCAGCATGAGATCAAGCAAGCCGCCCAGGTGTGAACTCTACGACAGTTTCACACATACACCTCTCACATACTACTACGCCTAAGTCTTTGGCAGCCGGGACCTTGGTGGCTCTGGAATTGGTCATTTCCAAGCCCACGATCTACGAAATCGGACATATGTTGCTGGGTCTTGGCTTGTATGAAGTTGTTTTGGTGATGTTTTATGGTTTCATTGGAAAGAAGGCTGCCAGCCGGCAATAAGAGGTACTAGAGGACTTACGGAGGTTTTGACGCTTGTTGGCTGTCTCCTCTCGATAAAAAATGTAAAACAGATCGAGAACAACACCAAAGCAAACAAGAAAGCAACAATTATATGCCCGACTTTACTTTTTGGTGAAGTGCTGCTTGGCTCAAGGGGCAGAGGCTCGGGTTTGCATCATCTATAGGTGATCTTTGACTATCGACACGAGAATAGGCGACGCTGAGAACGAGACAGCTGTCGATTCAAGAGACCAAAGGCATGTATCCTTACGCTGAGCAGCCTTCCAGGGCACTACATACATCACAGTCTGACGCACTGAATGGTTATATATTGTATGCAACGTGAGAACAGACTAAAAGAAAGAGATGATAGGCGCAGCGGTGACATCACCAAACAGCCCGGATCCGCGATGTCAAGTCGTCCAAAAGTTCTTTCCATCGATTTTAATCTGTTCTCCGACCACAATTTCGCCTTCAATAACCATGTCGGGCATACTGAACAGGGCGATCAATGTGTACGCCATCCCACAAGACCTCCTCGACTCGCTCGCAGTCCGGTCCATCGAAGCCGATCCCATCACTCAAGAAGAGCCACTCCCTGCTCCCGCCCCGCCACAGCCTCTCGGCACTGGAATATTCTGCCAGACCTGTCCTCACGCCGAGTTTGAGACTGTAGAAGATCAGAGGGCCCATTTCAAGAGCGATTGGCATAGGTATAATGCCAAGGTGAAGCTGAAAGGAGGTGGAAAGGTAGTGGGCTTTGAAGAATGGGGTAACCTCGTGGAAGGTGAGCACCCTGCCTGCGCATGGAATTAGGGCTAACAAGGCATAGGTGTGAGCTCTATCTCAGGAAGTGCTTCCTCCACATCAGGATCGGAACAATCCAAGGTCGCTCGACTGCTGAACAAGCACACCCTTCATCCCTCTGAGGACGGTTCTTCTGAAGCCGCCGAACTCGCTGATCGTCAACGGCGAGCCCATCTTCGAACAGCCATCATCTGGTTCTCCCCTACTTCCCCCCTCCCATCCCTCTCCATCCCCAAAGATACCCAATTTGGTATTCACCGTGCATTGTTCCCGCCTTATGACAAAGCGGGTGATTATCTGGAAGAGCTTAAGAGGATGCAGCTTGGTTCGGAAATGAGCAAGGCGGTAGAGCCGGAGCAAGAGGGAGAGAGGAGGATTGTCTTGTTGATGGTAGCTGGAGGACACTTTGCGGGAATGGTAGTCGGCTTGCGCCCGAGGGGCAAGATGGAGAAGCAGGAGGTCAAGGGGGCAGGCGATGTGCGCGTTATCAAGCACAAGACGTTCCATCGATACACCAGTATGTCTCATTTCCATTCAGGTGATTTGAACTAACGGAGTGTAGCCCGAAAGAAGCAAGGTGGTTCGCAAGCCCTCAACGACAATGCCAAGTCCAAGGCCGTTTCTGCGGGTGCCATGCTTCGTCGTTACGGCGAGACCGCTCTTCAAGAGGAGATCCGCGCCCTGATGATTGACTGGGCAGAGGATCTCGAGGCATCTGAACGAATCTTCATCCGCGCGAGTACCCATGGCAAGAAGAGCTTTTGGGGCTACGAAGGTGCTGTGTTGGACAAGGGAGATGAACGAATTAGGACTTTCCCGTTCCCAACGAGAAGGCCGACATTGCAGGAGCTCTTGAGGTGTTGGCACGAGTTGACGAGGGTCAGGGTCTCGCATCTGAGCGAAGGGGCGTTGAAGGAGCTGGACGATGCATACATCGCTTCGCTCCAGCCCAAGACACAGACGAAAGCCAAGCCTCAGGCTTTGCCAGAGAAGAAGGCTGAGCCCACGACGCCAAAGTTGACGGAAGAGGAAGAAGCGAGGGTAGACAGGGTCAAGAGGCTGGAAGAGATGGTGAAGAAGGGGCGGATCAACGCTCTTAGGTCATTCTGGGAGAAGCACTCTACCGAGTTCTTGTCCCTCTCACCACCCGGCGCCCCGGTACTGGAGGCGGATGCCCAATCCGCACTCACCCAGTCCTCCCTCCTCGCCCTCGCCTCATCTGCTGGGCAGAACGAGGTCCTCACCTACCTGCTCTCCGACCTTCACTTCAACCCCACCATCCCCTCTCCCTCAGACCCCACTAAACGCCCCTACGACCTCTCTGCCACCAAGGCCACTCGAGACATCTATCGCCGAGTGGCGTATGACAATCCCGAGCTGTGGGATTGGAAACTTGCCCGCGTGCCCGAAGGGCTGAGTGAGGAGCAAGAGGCGGAGCAAAAGGAGAAGAAGGCGGGCAGGAGAAAGGGGTTGAAGGACAAGCTGAAGGAGAGGGAGAAGACTAGACAAGAAACGGCAGCGAAGGAAGAAAAGGAAGAAGAGGAGAGGAGGCTAAAGAAGGAAAAGGAAGAGAGGGAGAAGCCGACGAGGATGGGTGCCAAGGGACCGCAGAAGCTGGGGAGTGCGGGCACTGGCAGTGAAGGGTTGGCGGGGTTGAGCCCAGAGATGAGGCAGCAGATCGAGAGGGAACGGCGTGCACGAGCCGCCGAGGCGCGCTTTGGCAGAGGATAGAATCGTAGAGTTATATATTGTAATGCACATTTAATCTCTGACCCATTTTTCCGCATACCTCTCATTCTGTACCAATTTTTCTGCCTCTTGCTTTGATACAAACTCTCCTACATTCTTCAACAGCATATTGTGCAGCATGATGGCAGCCAGGACCATATCCCGTGGTCGCTCCTGCTCGCCGTCAGGGATGACGGCCTCGCTGAAATACTGGAAACGGCCCTTGAGGCGGCCCCAGGCAAGCTGAATAGTCTCATGCAGGGGCAAGGAAGCGCGCGAGTTGAACGATCGCTACAGTCACGTCAGCCACCGCTCACTTTCAGAGCTTGCTACTCACTTGATCAGCAAGAATTGCCTCCCCATCCGGCCTTTCGATATAACTCGCTGCCCCTATATCAAACAACGACAACACCCTTTCCCTGCGCCTGAACCCCTTGTCCGCAATGACCACTTGCTTCGAGTCAAACCACCTTCTTTCATTTTCCTTGACGTTCCAAGGCATTCTATCCAACTGGCTCACGTCCGCATTGGGATCACTCGAGTCGCCAAGGTCCACCCATCTGATCCTGCCCTCGTGGTCTGCAACGCCGAGGACGTTGAGACCGATACGGTTGTCGGGGTGCCATTCGGGTAATGGAATGGTGGGTTGGGCACCGCACTGGAGACGGATATGGAAACCGTCTAAGAAGCCGACACAGTCGGGAAGGGTGTGCTTGGAGGAGATGGCTTGGGAGATGAGGATACGCTCTGGCGGCAGGGGCCAGGAGATGTAGGAGGTTTGGAAGGAGAGGAGAACAGTGAGGGAACGATTGATCCATTCTTGGACATACTCGGCTGTATATAGTGTCAGCCTTGTAGCAAAAGGGAAGCAGGGACGTACGGCTGATCTCAAACTTGTCTTCGATACCCTTTAGCGTCACACTCGGCGGCTGGGCGAGTCTGTAGACGCAGACAGCCAGCTGATACTCTGCTTTCCCCTGCTCCTTGACGTCGTCGGACTCAAACACCGGATGCTGGGCAAACTTCCCGAACACTTCCCTCTCCATATCTTCTCTAGACATCCGGAAGTCTGTTTTGAACTTGTCGGCTGGTTGGGAGAGGATAGCTTCGATGGTTTCGCTGGTGACAGCCTTGAGTGGTTCGGGCTCAGGCTCGAGTTCGGGTTCTGGTATTGGTTCACCCTTATCCTCTTCCACGGGAGCCTCCTTCTCTTCCACCACCACCTCCTCCTGCCTCTCCCCCTGACCCCCCGCCTTGGCCCTCACCTTCTCCAACACCTGCTTTCTCGCCAGCTCTGCCTCATAGAGCTCCTTGTAGAGCGGGATATGGCCCAGCGGGCGCAGTTGGTTGAGGACGAGGTCCAGCTGTTCTAGAGCCTCATCTTTTTCGCCTTGTGCAGGCATCTTGGGATGCGTTGGCGAGACAAATACACGCGTGGGTTGTATATAGGTGAGACAAGTGGTGACATCACAAGGGGTGTCCGGATCTATCCGCGCTGCTTGGGCGTGGCATCCTCCCCCGCCTCCCTCGACACGATAAACTACTTGCCTCTCTCTTTTCCCCCCTCTTTCATACAACAAGTATAACCACAATGGCTGAACAACTCGTGAGTAATCCACATCCCTTGTGGGCGGGACGTTGCGATGGGAAGGGAAAAGGGGAGAGGGTGAAGCGCAGACGACCCCCCCGGCCCCGCGCGACGCGAGCCCCACATCTATCTGTACATCGCTAACACTCTCTGCAGACTAAGGGTAAGCACTCGCAGCGCGGTCTTACCGGGTGACACACTGTCCACTTCACTAACTACTCTTCTCCCCCTCGGCGTTCAACAGAACAAATTGCCGGTATGTTCCACAACCCCTTTTCCAAATCTGGGGGCTCGAACTGACATTTTGCCGTGTTTTAGAATTCAAGGAGGCTTTCTCCCTCTTCGACAAGGGTATGTTTGCGCGTGCTGGAAAGCGGGTGGTAGTGTTGATTGGGTGCTGATGGCCTTGTCTTTTTCTTGGTTTTTTCGACGTTGCTCTATTCTGGGGTACACCGCTTTGATCCCTCTTTTTCTCCTCTTCACTACGGACAACCCGCGTTCCCCCTCACGACTGATCCTCATTCCTGATGGCCTACTCGTCCTGAAACGTATGCGATACGACGCGCAATCGTACAGATGGCGATGGAACTATCACCACCAAGGAGCTCGGTACCGTCATGCGCTCTTTGGGCCAGAACCCCACCCAGGCTGAGCTTGAGGATATGATCAACGAGGTGCGTTATAATGCCGTGTCTCTCTCTATTTCGCGGTGTTTGTAGCCGCTTTGGGGGAGGGACCATGTAAGAATGTGTGTGCGCTGACGAGCCGATGACAGGTCGACGCTGACGGAAACAACTCTATCGACTTTGCCGAGTTTATGACTCTTATGGCTAGGAAGATGCACGACACCGACTCTGAGGAGGAGATCCGTGAGGCTTTCAAGGTGCGCCCTCTTCTATATAGCCGGCTAAAGAAAACAAAGAAAGAGGAAGACTGATAAGAGGGGACAGGTCTTTGACAAGAACAACGACGGCCACATCTCTGCTGCCGAGTTGAAGCACGTCATGAGTATGTTCTTCTGTCTTGGTTATGAGCTGTCAGCTGACTGGGTGTGCAGCCAACCTCGGCGAGAAGCTCACAGACGCCGAGATCAGCGAGATGATCCGGGAGGCCGACAAGGACGGTGCGTTACATTGTGCTGTGGGGCATCAAGGTGGGCAAGCGCTGATGGACTGACGCAGGTGATGGTATGATCGACTACAACGAGTTTGTCACTATGATGATCGCCAAAGTACGCTCCCATTTCCATGACTGTAATGGATGCTGACTGCGAGTAGTAATCGCCCCTTGTATCCCTCTCTGTGCTGTCCAAGAACAATCTTGCCAAAAACGACGAACCCCTTTTATTTACTTCTCTTTTCATGATGCGTATGACTGTTTGACTGTGGAGGAATAGGCAGAAGGGAAGTAGAAGATAAAGCTTGTACATCTGGGATGAATGATTGCCATGTCTGCTTGATCGACGATCCACGGACACGGGGCGGGGACGGCCGCAGGCACGGGGCGGGGGCTGACATCATTCGGGGAAGGATCTGGAATTATGCGGCGACGTCATCAGGGCGGGACTTTGCTTCCCCTGCCATTCCCGCACATAAAGTCCCGTTTCTATCTCTTTCTCTCTTTTTCCTACACCCATCTGCACAAAACAACTCCCATCCACCCACCCGTGAGTCATCAACATCTATCCTTCCCTATTCCCTTTCCTCTTTCTATTCCCCTCCCTCCCTTGTCCACTCGGCCGACGCCCGCCGCCACGTGTCCGCGACGCTCGGACATATATCGATCCCCCACCCTCTCCCTTTGATCCACGCTGATGCCTGCTCCTATGTCCCTGTCCCCACTCCTTTCGTCTCCCGTATATATACCCTCCATCCAGACACAAAACACATCAATCACATTCACAATGGTCGCCCAAGAAATGAACGCTCTTCTCTACTCCGAGGTCAGTCTCTTATCACTCTGCATCATCCCATACTAACCCTTCACAGGCCCGAAAATTCTCCATCACCAAGGTTCCCGTCCCCGAAATCAACGACAACGAGGTCCTCCTCAAGGTCGACATCTGTGGTGTCTGTGGTACCGACCAGCACATCCACGAAGGTGAATTCATTGCCAAGTTCCCCGTAAGCATCCACTCCTTTATCCCGCATCGACTCCTTTCTGACCATCTTGATAGTTGATTCCCGGCCACGAAGCTGTCGGCAAGGTCGTCTCCATGGGCAAGAACGTCACTGGTTTCGAGATTGGTGACCGAGTCGCCGCCGATGTCGGAGAGACCTGTTCTCACTGCCACTACTGCCGAAAGGGTACCGAGCTTTTCTGTGAAAACTTCAACCCTGCCGGTGTCGCCCGTGACGGTGGTTTTGCCGACTACATCAAGTAGTAAGTACTTTTTGAGCCATTCCGCAAGTTAAGCACTTATCGGAATGATAGCAACTTTGCCAAGTGCTACAAGATCAAGAACCTTACCGACGAGGAGGCTACCCTTCTTGAGCCCGCTTCTTGTGCCATCCACGGTATGGACAAGCTCCAGATGCCCTTCGGCGCCAAGGTCCTCTTGATCGGTGCCGGTCCTACCGGTCTTATCTTGGCCCAGCTCATGAGGGTCAGTCTTTTCCATTCGATCCGAAAGACAAAGCTTACTCGGTTATAGCTCGGTGGTGCTTCTCACGTCACTATCGCCGCCAACAAGGGTCTCAAGATGGACCTCGCCCGCAAGGTCGACGCCGCCGACTCTTACATTGACCTTGACCGAAACGACGCCGCCAACCAGTGGGCCCAGATCAAGAAGGACAACCCTTACGGTTTCGACGTTGTGGCCGAGTGCACCGGTGTTGAGAGCATTGTGAACGACGCCATCAACTATGTCACCCGAGGTGGTACCCTTTTGGTCTACGGTGTCTACGCCGACAAGGCCAGGGTCCCCGACTGGAGCCCCACCGACATCTTTGTCAACGAGAAGGTGAGCCTCCCTCTTCTTTCCTTGATGCACCTGCTAACCCGATATCAGCGAATCATCGGTTCCTTCTCCCAGACTTACTGTTTCCCCCGAGCCATCGACCTCCTCGACTCTGGCAAGATCCGTACCACCGGTATGGTCACCGACGTCTTCAAGCTCGCCGACTACCAGGCCGCCCTCGACAAGATGGCTTCCAGGCAGGCTTTGAAGATTGCCATCAGGCCATAAATGCCTTTTGAGCCGTCGAAAGTTTGTTGGTAGATTTATCTAGAGAGGTGTTGTAGTATCAAAACAATAAAAAGCGTAGCCGCATCCGAAGGAGCGGGGGGCGATCAGAAGAAATAGATCAAGCATGAGCATGGGGAACATCTTGGGTATCTGTTGGGAGTGATTATCTTGTTATGTAGCAGCATGAATGTCGAGTCAGCATAATAAACAGCGTTGCTGGCACAATAGGAGAACAGAAGGATGAAAGATGGAGTTGCAAAGGCGTGGAATTGGCGTGGAAGATGGTTGGCATGACCGCACGGGTCACACGCCATGAACGTCATCATGCCACATACTCCGCGCCTGCCTTTCTGACCAATTTGCAGTACAGCCGTCTCTTATGGTATGCATGTGCTGCAATACAACGAAATAAACAGCAAAGGATCGAGCGTCTACTGATACCTGGACAATGCAACCTTCTCCTTCATCGTACACTCATCAGAAGACAGTACCATCACTGACAATCTCCACTGGCGGCCCGCCTCCCTCCCTCTTCTCCTTTGCGATTTCCCTTCCACCCTTCCAGGTAGCAGCCTCGAGCACTTGCGCGAGGCCGAGCTCCAGCTTGTCGACATTGAGCTTTTCGCAGAGGATCTCGTGGATCTTGTCCCTGTGCACTGTCAGCTATGATCTCTGGTATACAAAAGGGCGCTTACAAAGAGATGACGGTAACAGCTCGCCATTCGATCACCGCCGGATGACTAGGTTCAAGCACGGGAGGCTTCTCCTTCCCATTGGGATACGCATCCTCCCCCAGCGTCTCTGCCTTGACCGTCAGAGCGCCCAAATCCACCAACAGCCCTCCATTCCTGTACTCTGGCAAGCCCGTCTGGCCGCGCCCGCGTTCGACCTTCCAGCCGGTTTGGGATTCGATCCCTTCGACGAGCGAGTAGCAGAGCCATTGGGTGAGTTTGTGGAATGGTACGAGATCATCGCCTTCTGTACGCCCTGCACCGGCTTGGTCTAGAGCGGACGAAAGAGCAGCACAAGGCCAGACGTCGCCCAGAGCCTCGTCGGGGTAAGAAGGCAATGTTGTCCTGGACGGCCAGATGGGCAACAAGAGCTCGAAGAGGGTGGACCAAAAGTCGGCAAGAGGCAAGATGTTGTCGGTAATCTTGTCGCCAAAGTATTGGATCAAGTCGCCAGGCCGGCCAGTGGGGCACAAGTCTGGACGGGCTTGGAGGGCGGAACCGAGGTTGATCAGGAGGTCGGTACGGCCTTGGAGACCTGCCATCGGGTTGGCAGTTGTCACTTGCAAGTGTTTGGCTAGGAGTTTGGGCGTGAGGTTCTTCAGGCCCTCGGCTATCTCAAGTCAGCTTCTTTTCCCAAGTGATGACGATATGGATGGAGCGCACCAGTCACTTGAAACTTGTTGTCAGTATGGGAAAAGAGCCCGTCTTTAAACATGTTGTAGCTCGCCACAGCCAATCCCTCGCTCCTCCCGCCCTTCCAAACGACCTTTTCCTTATCCTCCTCATCCACCTCGATGTACTCCCAGTCCGGTCCAGCTCCGGCATCAAGCAGGACAGACACCAGGTACAGATCAGTCAAGGCTGATGCCCGGGCTAGAGGGTCGGAGGGGGGCGGGAAGCCGGGGGTGGAGAGGAGGGTGGCGATGCGGTTGCGCTTGGGGGTTATAAAGTGGTTACGGCGGCAGTGAGCTACTGCTGTTAGCTATGTGTCTCATAATCAAGCTGGACATACGAGGGATAGAAGCATAATCGGTCCCAAAGTCCCTCTGGACACCACTGATCAGCACATGTCCTCACGAGATCAGCGATAAGACCCACCTGGATGATCTTTGCGCAGTAGTCGGCAACGTCCCCAAGCTTGGCCTGGTCAAAGTTCCAGTGCTTGAGTTTGCCCTCGACGGCGAGGTGGTAGACCTGGCTGGAGCGGTTGCGGACGGCGTCGAGAGACCGGAGATAGGCGACGAGTTCGGGAGTGGCCATGGTGGGTGATGGAGTGGTATAGGATGGATGAACGTGTCTATATAGCTGGGCGGTGGGAAACGAGTCGAGGGTGCAGGATATGGATCCTTCGGGGGGCTGAAAGGAGAAATGGAAGAGAGGGGTTATATATGCGAGACAAGGGAAATAGCCGGCAGGATCGGAGGAGCGAGCCGACGGAGATAGTGGAACGTGCTGCAGCGATGCTCGTGGATCAGAGGGGGCAGGGAGAGGGGGAGGGGGGGGGACGGACTTGCGGGGAGGGAAGTGCTGCCAGACAAGGATACTCACAAGCAATACCCACCCCGCGATAACAGCCATGGCCATCTCCGACACACGCGACTGTCTTTCGGCCATCCGCCCCGCCCATACAAGTGACTGTTCCAACATTCATATGCTTATATCTGATATATTGTTATAAAAAAACATGGCGTCGTATACATCCAAATCAAACCGGTCATCAAGTACGTGAAGGAGTGCGTAAAATGTCATCAGACGTTGATGTTTTTCGTGAAAAAAGGTCCTTCAAGATCCCAATATAAGCCCCTCATACAATTCCTTCGCCAAGTCGCCCTATATTCAGCAAATCTCTACTCGGATCAAACGGCTGATTCCCGCTCCGGCTACTGCCAACAGGTGATACTGGCGACCCTGGTGACGCCAACTTTGCCTCCTCCAGCACAGCCCACCGCCTATCCGCTTCAAACTCTTCCCACTTTTTCCACACAATCACGCTAGCATCAAACTCTCCTTCCTTCTCTCCATGCTTGCCGTCCCCCTTCCCTTCGCCCGCTACCACTCGCGTCGCTCCCCACGAAAAGTCGTCCATGTGCCAGTAGGCATACGCGGGAAGGACCAGGTTCCAGATCGGGAGAGATAGCAGATAGAGGAGCATCCAGCCGACGTAGGCTACTTTGCGAGATGTGATGACGATGAGGAGACCGGGAAGACCGAGGATGAAGGCGAGCAGGACGAGAGAGATGACGGGGCGGGGAATACCGGTCTTGTCCTCGGGAATGATCGAGACGATGATGATGTACATGGTGAAGCTGATAGCCGCCGGGAGCACCAAAGTACCCACCAGATCCATAAAGACGACGAATTGCATCGAGAAGCAAAAGGTTCCACAGAGATCGCGCACCTGCGCCAGTTCGAATAGGTTGTGGACGGTAGAGTTGATCCAGCGGCGGCGTTGCGAGAGGAGGACTATGAATTCGGCAGGGACTTGGGTCTTGCAGACTGCCTGGGGACAAAAGATCATCTTGCGCTTCGGAAAGGTCTTGAGCATGAGAGTCGAGAGGTAGCGATCTTCGCCCAAAAGCAGGAGGTTCTTCTTGTGCAGAGTGTTGACGACGTTTTCGGAATAGTGTTCGCAGATGTCGGGGTTGGCGAGGACGGGGACCCAGTATCCTTCATTGCCCTTTGGCGTCTTGATCCGATACATCGAGAAGCATCCAGGGAGACAGGTGACGCCGCCGAATACCGATTCGAACGCTTTTGTGAGGTGATGCGAGATGTAGTATTCAAAGACTATACAAGATCAGCCAGTCCCCAATGACACGAAAGACATACCTTGAATCATGGTCACCCACGTCTCGGCCTTGTTGGCAATCTTGGTCTCACCACACAATCCCATGATGTTGAGGTCGTTGACCATGCACGCATTCATCCTCTGCAAGGAATCCGGAAAGACGACCGTATCCGCATCCACACACAGAGCCGTCTCGTACATGTCTGGAGTCACACCCGTGACACGCCAGAGCGAGTTGAAGAATTCATACTCGAATGCCGTCATGCGCTCGTGAAACATGACTCGCTGCAGAAACTTCATGAGAAGCACCTGAGAGTCGCGCTTGCCTCGATTGCCGGCCTTGCTCGCACCAGCCTCGGAGGGGTTACCGACTTTGGCCACAAGGACCATGGGCACGCGCTGTTGCTTGGTATCCTCGACCTGCGAATCCGCGCCATAGTCGTAAAAGCCCGAAAAGACCTTGCACATATTGTGCTGTTTTTGCCCGTCTGCGATGGCTACGCAGGACTGAGCCACAACCTCGTCGGCAGGCTGGACAAGATCCTTCATCATGCTCAAGACGAGATTGGGAGTATAGTCGACCTCTTGTTTCGGGATCCCAGCCGCCTCGTCTGCCGCCTTCTCCTTGTCCGACTTTGACCCTCTGACCATGCCATCTGCAATGACCAAAATCACCTTGTGCGAGTTGGGATAGTCGGTGGTGGCAAGCGAGTCGAGCGTCTGTCGCAAACCGTCGATACTCTCCGAGTAGGCCGTCACAAGGCAGATGGAGTGGACAAGGGGGTATCCGTGAGGTTCATCGTCTGCCTTGGGCTGGGCGATGATATGGGGAGACAAAGGGAGACGGGCATCGGGGTTGGACATGAGGGAGGCAAAACTTGGGGATTCACGCAGAGTAGCGCCGAAAGGGACCTTTAGAGAAGAGTCGTTGGGATCAATACCGAAACCTGCTGCGCTCGAGGTGCTCGAGGCGACGATGGGGCTCGGCGGCTGGGAACCAGAGACCTTGCGAGACCCACCCACTACCACTCCGGCAAGGTCAGAAGCCGTGACAGGTCTGGAAGCAGCAGAGTAGAATGACTGGCGTTGACTCATCATCGTAGAAGGGCGACTGGGTAGATTGCCTCGGGGCATGCTGTACTGACTGAAGCGCGACTTTGTGGGGAGGGCGAGCAAGCGCCTCTTTTCGACCTTCTTCTGGGGTTGCTTTCCTTCGACGGGAGCATCCGGCATCAAGTGCTCGGGAGCATGAGTTGGCATGTCCTCTGTCCAGCTCTCGATCTCTTTCGCCCTCTGTATCCGGTCCTGATACTTCATCCCATTAAAGTTGCCCAACCTCCAGCTCAAAAACCAGCCAAAGGCGACAGCCATGAAAAACTTGATGAGAACGGCACCGAGGATGAAGATGAGAGAGACGTAGAGGACCACGTTGGAGATGAAGCAGCCAATGGTCATGCTGTCGACAAATCCGACTTGAATAATGTCGACAAGGCAGTCGGCGTACTTGGTAGCGTTGGCGCGTTCAACGAGAGCAGAGATGTCTTTTCCGGCCCAGCTGGCATTGCGGTTCTTGAGCGTATCAAACAAGGCTGGGTATTTGACTTGGGAGCTGTCAAGGCCTCGAAGGAGGTTAAAGTCGAGGATCAAACTGATATCATCAGTGTTGCCCGGAGAGGGTATAAACTCACTCCTTGTAAGCCGCAAGGTTGACCTCGGTATCCGCCACTCTGTCCCAAGTGTAAAATATCTTGGCCGTGGGCACGACAGCGTCAAACTCGTCTCTAGCCTTTTGCGAGGGGTGACAGTTGTAGTCGGAGCCATAATTGGTAGTGTTTGCGACAGAAGTATCATTTTGGTCGTGAAGATTGCAAGCAAAGTACCAGCCCATGTTGTCGCCATTCGTCGTGATACGGCTCCCCTCGGCGGGAGTGATGACGCCCAAGCAATGCTGATTGACTTTTTGAAAAAGAAAACTGGCGTCCATCCCACCGGCATTGTACTGGTCCATCCAGAGAGGACTGGTAGACCCATTGAAAAGCGAACCAGTTTCAGGGTGACGCCACGTGGAAAAGTCATAGTCATACCCGTTGATGACGAGGGATCCAAGGTTGGCCTGTCCACCGGGTATACGAAGCGCATTATCACCACAAACAGTCTGGGTGAATCCGAACGTGACAAAGCCGACGATAGCCATCAAACTGGAAACGATCGCCACGATTCCCATCTTTTCCCGGAACGCCCGGATACCCTCAGCGTCGACACGCTTGAAAACCTTGCGGATGACAGAGACGGGGATCCAGAGAGTGATGATATAGCAGTAGATCATCCAGCAGTCTTTGGGGCCGGGGGCAATGTCGCCGAGGCAGCAGAGGGGTGGGTGGTCTTTGCCTTCTTTGGGTATGTAGTCGGCGTTGTGGTGTTCGGCAAGCTCGCGAATCAGAAGAGACTTGCCCCGCTGGAGAGAATTGCTAAAGGTGACTGGGGCGGGTCGGTTGCCGGTGGCTAGGCAGGGTTAGCACTCGGCAGTACAAGAAGCTATAGACTCACCGCTAGCCTGGATATCCATATGATCCTCCACCGCATGCTCCCGGTAATGCCTCAGCCTGTGTTTGAGGTCCACCACTTCTCTTTCGGGCTTTACCAACGTCTTCTTTCGCACCAATCCGGGATTGGGTATGGAGCGCTGGCTGTTCTGGGCCTCGGCGTCGTAGTCATGCTCGGCTGAAGCACGAGAGGGTACACGCTGGTGGCCTCGGTGCTGAAGAGGAATTCCATCGCGCGTGTCGATAGGGGCGAGAAAGGGGAGGCGTTTGGGGGAACGCCAGGACATGGTGAATGCCAAGGGCTGTTTCGAGGGATAGAAGGTCTAGGGCTTGACCAGCAAGAATGGTTCAAGATGCCAGAAGGCAAGTACTGGACGGTACTGCTCACACGAGGAGAAGGAAGATGCCGACTAGGATAGACTTGAGACGGGCGGGGTCAAGAGACGGGGCAGGGGCGGGAGGTGGACTGGGAGGGGGAGGGGAAGAGGGGGAAGGGAGTGACTGTAATGAGCGTGGCAATTCAGAGATGGTTAGAAGAAGATGGATGGAGAAGGGGATGGTCGACGGTGTGGAGTGTGCGAGCGGGCAACACCGAAGAGCAGGCGCGCTCGGACCATGCTTCAACATGTCGCCATACGAGTAGGGGATGAGATGCAGACGGGTCAAGCCTTGTTGAGAGGCAGTAGCAACGACAGACGCATTCACTCGATGGAGTCGATGCCCATCCCGGAATCCAGGTCACAGCTGCGCCAGGAACTGTTATCTCCCTATCAAACATCATGGCCGAGTGGCAGCCGTAGGGGCCGACGCTTTACCACCATGTATTGAGGATCAGCTACGAAGGCTTGCACAAGCTGGTAAAATGTATACTGCGATAGCCGATATGCCATGAAATCGGGTCACTGTCGAAATCGTAAACTCAACTCTGTGGCAGAGGGACGTGACACTGCTACCCACTTGACCCGGTTCTACCCTCTTCTCCGCTTCCACTTCTTGATGATAGGACTATACGGCTACCCCAAGAAAGCCCCTATGGCACAGAGCGCACCCCTCACGCACGCAGCCAGCAAAGCAAGCAAAGAGAGAACGCGAGAACGCGCCATGTTGACGACCCGGCTTTCCGTAAAAAGAGGAGCACCTCCTTCCCCGCTCTGCAGCCTGAATAGATAGAGGCTATACTAGCTTGATCAAGCTCTTTCTCTTATCTGATAGAACAATTGCAGCCAGCGATCAGAGACATGCAGTCCTTATCGCGGCCTTATCTCGCTCGCTTTGGCCCGGCCTAGGCCGTGTACCCCTTTGATGCGACATGCAGTGTGTTGTTGGGTTCCTGCCAGTCCCCGATGGCTCTGGAGGTGTACCCAGCCGATCACTGCCCCCATACCGCCCTCCCCCTGCCTCTCAGACTCGCCCTCACTGAACGTCGCCGGGCTGGGCGGGATCAAACGCGGCTGCGTCATCGATCTCTTATCTCCAGTAAGGGCGGGGCTCGCGTGGGCTGGCCAATGGGAGGGCGGCTCTCTTATCTCTCCCTGAGGCGGGCCGAATCGATGCGAGACCATGATTGGCCGGGGCGTTCGTCCGAAACGGGTAGCGCGGATAGTCACGAAGCATGCAGCCGACTTTTTTTGTCCCTATATAATGATATAATCCACAGCCCCGCCTTTCCATTCCTCATCATACACCATGTCCAACTACCCCCAGGAGCCCGAATTCCAGCAGGCCGTCAACGAGATCTCCCAGACTCTCGAGCCTGTAAGTCGCACTCCACCGCCATCCCTGCTGAGCTGACCCGCCCCAGTTCCTCGCCAAGAACCCCGAGTACCGACGAGCTCTCGAGGTCGCCCAGATCCCCGAGCGAATCGTCCAGTTCCGAGTCACCTACGAGCGAGACGACGGATCCGTCTCTGTCAACAGGGGTTACAGAGTCCAAGTGAGCCTCCCGCAACTTTTTTTATACACGCGGAATCGCTAAACGCCAGTCTAGTTCAACTCTGCCCTCGGTCCTTACAAAGGTGGTCTCCGACTCCACCCCACCGTCAACCTTTCCATCCTCAAGTTCCTCGGTTTCGAGCAGGTATTCAAGAATGCTCTTACCGGCCTCAACATGGGTGGTGGTAAGGGTGGTTCCGACTTTGACCCCAAGGGCAAGTCTGACGCCGAAATCCGACGATTCGTACGTCACAATCTTTCAACATGAGGATTCTGCTGACGTTGCGCAGTGCTACGCTTTCATGCAGGAGCTCTCCCGACACATTGGTGCCGACACTGATGTCCCCGCTGGTGACATTGGTACCGGTGGCCGAGAGATCGGTTTCATGTTTGGTGCTTACAAGAAGTACCGAAACGAGTTTGCCGGTATTCTTACCGGTAAGGGCGGTGACTGGGGAGGTTCCTTCATCCGTCCCGAGGCCACTGGGTAAGTTTTTAATATCACTTTTGCAGACCCAAAGCTGACCCTCGCAGTTACGGTCTCGTCTACTACGTGACCGAAATGCTTCGAGACCTCGACAACACCGACTGGAAGGGCAAGCGAGTCCTCCTCTCCGGTGCCGGTAACGTCGCCCAATACGCCGCCCTCAAGGTCATCGAGCTCGGCGGTACCGTCCTCTCTCTCTCCGACTCTACCGGTGCTCTCGTCGCTACCGGTGACGAGGGTTTCACCCCCGAGGACATCTTTGCCATTGCCGACATCAAGCTCCAGAGGAAGAGCTTGACCGCCTTCTCTGCCGGCAACAAGTTTGCTTGGCACGAGGGAGCCCGTCCTTGGACTCTTGTCTCCAAGGCCGACGTCGCCCTTCCTTCTGCCTCCCAGAACGAGCTCAACGGCGAGGAGGCCAAGGCTTTGATCAAGGCCGGTGTCCGATACGTCGCCGAGGGTTCCAACATGGGCTGTACCCTCGACGCCATCGAGGTCTTTGAGGCTTCCCGAACCGCCGCCAAGAGCGCCACCGACTCTGGTATCGCCTTCTACGCCCCCGGCAAGGCCGCCAACTGCGGTGGTGTCGCCGTCTCTGGTCTCGAGATGGCCCAGAACTCTCAGCGACTCAAGTGGACCCCCGAGGAGGTCGATGCCAAGCTCAAGGACATTATGGTCACTTGCTACAAGACCTGCTGGGAGACCGGTAAGGAGTACGCCGAGGCTGGACCTGTCCCCTCCTTGGTCGCTGGTGCCAACATTGCTGGTTTCATCAAGGTTGCCGACGCTATGAAGGTCCAGGGTGACTGGTGGTAATCCACTCGTCCCTAGTCTTTGATTCTTATGCCCGACTGCCATTTTCTCATCTTGATGCCCCTCTATTAGTAGCCCTTGAGGCGCTACCCCCTCTGTAGTACACAAAAACCGCAGTAGTTACTGTATTATACCCCATCAGGCGTTTTGGGATTGACGAGATCAGAAGTTTATGAATTGCATTATCAGCAACAAATGTGTCTGAATTTATGACCTTGCATATGCTAAAAGTACAAGTATATAGGACAGTCTCAGATCGGAAGGCTATATATCATATTTCACGCGCCGTTTTCCAAAAGACGACAGACCAGCGCCCGAGATGAGGGACGTGCACAGCCGTAGCTACCAAAAGTAGACCAAGGAAAGAACAGAGAAAAGCGCCCAATGGGCATGGCATATCGCATCCCCTCTACTACTCCGCATCTTCATCTACTCTGTGGGCAAGACTGCTAGCCTTGACGGGAGAGGCGCCAAACGCGCCGGGGTGGTGGATGGGGTAAGAGCTCGAGTTGTGGCTTTCACGGAGCGTATTGGGAGGGGAGATACGGGGGTGGCTATTCTTCTGTTAGCTACATCCCAACGCTCATCATAGATTCGACACACCTGTCACTACCACGACGTTGATGACCATGTCCCGCTCCAGGCATTTCAATGGCTTCGCTTGTAGCCGCCGGGCTGATCCCAACGCCCACGTTGGGCGCAGGTTTTTCAGAAGTAGGCGAGTGGTGTTGCTCGGTAGGAATTGGGGAGGCGTTGTTGCCGGTGGGTGATGACGAGAGGTAGCCGCCGTTGGGGCCAGAAGGAGAGGAGGCATGAGGGACGCTGCGTTTCATGAGCAGAGAGATCACCACGGAACAGACAGACGTACGCTTCCGGTGTAGGGTGGATGTGCCCGTAGGGAGTGGGCACACCAGCCTTGGACATCATGTAGTCCCCAGAGTCAAAGAATTTGCGGTCCTTCTGCATCTTGGTCAAGACGTTCTTTGCCGGCACCTTGCCGTAGAGCTTGAACGCCTTTTGTTCCTGCTCTGTCATTTGCTGTGGAGTTATCAGTGGGTGTCTCCGTAAGAGCAAGACTGGGGCGTACCGAGACATCGACCTTGTTCTGGATAACAGCAAAGGCCATCGTCAGCTCTGTGTCTCGTATGAAGGATAATGTTAAAGATCGCTGCGTTTACGACATGAACCCAGGCGGGAAGAATGGTCGGTCGGCGATATATGAACGTCCGCGATGCGCCGGGTGGCCAATTTGGCTCCAATTTAGAGAACAAAGGACCGGCTGGAGCCACTTAGGACAGTGACCTGTGACTGCCATGATAGAAAGGCTTGGAAGGCCCCCCTTGGCTGATCGCCTGCCTCCACCGCCATTCCAGCAACATGACGAAACGCCCCGTCATGTTCGCCCCGAGTCGCGCCGAGCTGCCTCGTGTACGTAGCCTTCCGTGTAAAGGGACCGGGGAGACAAGGAGTGGGAGGGAGGAGAGAAAGGACATACCTTCTGGTGCGGGTTCATCTTGGCTGAGGGGTGAATGGATGGATGGCAAGTGACGCAGAGGGAGCTGGCGCGACGTCGACGCGGGCGGCAGTGGGCAGGGGGGTGTAGCGGCGCTGAGAGGGGATGCGGTGGGATGGGATGTAGAAAAAGACGAGGAAATGGGAATGCAGACGGTGAAATGGATCTGCGCGAGCTAGTGATGGGGTGGAGCGCGGCTCGGTGATTGGGCGGTGGGACGGAGGGTGGTGTCGGCGGTGCGGGGGGCTTGGCGTGGATGGATGGGCAGAGAGAGTAGAGTAGAGGACAAAGTAGAAGAGAGAGTGGAGTGGATGCATCCCATGACCTTATCATTCGCAGCACCTCACCGCTCTCCAGGGAAACCACTAGCAAGGCACCATTACCGGCCTGGAACCTTCTTTGCCTCTTTCTAATCGCCTCAAGATCGTCATTTCACGGCATACCACTTACGCCTCCCGCCACACTGCATACCGTGGCTTGGGTCAGCCATGCAGCATCCGGCTCTTCCACAGCACATCACACAGCTCGACCATGAGGGGCGATCATCTACCAGCAACAATATCATCGTCACTCGAGCAATCCCCAGTCATCATTATAGATCAGTACATCGATTATATGTAAAAAGACATCTATGAGCTGCCGCCGCCGGCACCTTCCATAGCCTGCACCAGTTTGGCGAAATAGCTACCCTTCCTCGACTGCAACACCTCTGGCGAATCATACTCTAGCAACTTGCCAGCGCCAAGAACCATAATCTTGTCATAGTCCATCACCGTAGAAAGCCGATGCGCCACAGTGAGCACGGTGCAGGAAGATGGAAGGTTTCGGATCGACTGTTGGATGAGAGCATCCGTATCAAAGTCGACAGAAGCAGTTGCCTATACCAGAGTCAGCCCAGCACGTGCCACGACCGTTTCTTAGACTTGCCTCGTCCAAGATCAAAACCTTGCTGTTCCTCACCAGCGCCCTCGCGAGAGCCACCAACTGCCTCTGCCCTTGACTCAAGTTGCCACCGCCCGCGGCGATATGTGTGTCCAAGCTCAAGCGCTGGGGGGTAATGCTTCCAGAGCCGCCTCGCTGACGGGTAGCCCCCAGGCCAGAAGCTTGGAGGGCATCGTTGAGCTCGGCATCGTCGTGCTCGCCGAAAGGATCGAGGTTGAATCGGAGGCTTCCAGAAAGAAGGATCTGCTTCCTGTCAGTGATAGCTTGGGCGAAAGGAGCAGACGTACGGGGTCTTGCGGGATGATGGTCACATTAGACCTCAGAGCATGCAGATTGATCTTGCCCGTATCGATACCATCGATCAAGACTTTTCCACTCGTCGGGAGCATCTTCAACAACGCCAGCGCCAGCGTAGACTTTCCACTCCCCGTCCTTCCGACAATTCCAACCTTCTCGCCACTCTTGATAGACAGCTTCAGGTTGTCAAGGACGGTGGGACCATCGTCAGAGTATCTGGCGGAAAGCCCGTCGAGGACAATTTCGCCGGATGTCGGCCAGGCGGCAGAAGGTTGTTTGCGGTCGTCATGGACTGGTTCTTGAGGGATGACGAGGTAGTCTTGGATACGCTGCAACAACTGTCAAGCTTTTATTTTCGAGAAATCTGAGGGGCTTACTTCGACAGAGTTGCCCTGCACTTCCATCTCGTTCACCATCCTGACCCACCACTACTCGGCCTTAGCTATGCCCATAGCGTTGTGTAAAAGGAAACTTACAAGGATCATAGAGGAGAAGGAGATTGCTTGAGACAAGGCGAAACCAGAGGTGGAAGCGTCAAGCTTCGCTCCGTATACCAAGAAGGCACCGAGAGCAGCAGCAAAGAGACCACCCAGCATGTTGAGTCGGATCGTGACCCATCGGTTGAGATTGTAGCTAAGAACAATCAGTATCCGCAGAAATATTACTTGTCGTGGACATACAACTGCGGGGTAAGTCAGCACAGCCTCATGTCATGGTCGGGACACTTACGCAAGTAGCAGCCCTCGAATACTTGTCTGCCCGTCTCTGAGCCTCCAGCCTCATCTGCTCTTCCGCCCCATAAGCTCGGATGGAAACGATACCATTGAAGGCGGCAGAAAAGTGGGAGAAGAGGGGACTCTTGGCATTGGACATTTCACGCTTGACACTGAGTTGTCCGTGGATGTACATTTCTCCCATGATGCCCCCGAGGGCACCGATGATCTGGTCAAGTTAGCTCACTCCGAGTGACTTTGGACGGTACTTACGACGGCGGGGATGGAGAAGAGGGGGACAAGGGAGACGACGACTGCGATCTTGAGTATAAGACCGGCAGTGACATCGGCCACGGTATCAAACGTCTACACCTGGTCAGCAATATCCTCCGCGCACAGAGATACAAACTCACTTCAGTAAAAGGTCCATCGATCGACTTGATATCCTTCGTGAATCGACTGATGATCCTCCCCACCGGCGTCGTATCCATAAACCTCATATAGGCCCCAAAGATAGAGTCCACAAGACGCCTATGCATCTCCCTTGCGGCCTTCGTGCAACCCAAGTAGAACAAGATGGCAGAGGCGCCACCCATGACCACACCGATGAGGACAAAGACAAAGTAGAGGCCGAGGTAGTAGGAGACGGAGACGAGGTTGGCGTCTGAGGATTCGTCGTACGCTCGGGCCCAGCGGCCGAGCCAGTAGGTTTGGAAAGAGGACATCGCCTGGCCGCCAAAGAGGAGACCAAAGTAGGTCAGCCAGAAGATAGGGCCGCCAAACATGCTACAACCATGTCAGCTGTGTAATTTGCTGATGCTCGAGACCTACCGGAAGAATGTGATGAACGCGTGCTTGGAGATACGCCCCTCGCTCTTCTCTTCATCCTTGACCAGCTTGGAAGCGGCCTTCTTTTCGGCCGTCTTTTGGGCTTCGCCTGGGTTCTTGACTTCTTCAGCGGGAGGAGCGGTTTCGGTCTCGGGCTCGTCCTCCTCGGGGAGGGCATTCTCGTTGACAGGACCTTGGCTTTGGACAGTGCCATTTTCGTTCAAAGTGATGATGAAATCAGCGACGGGAGCGACCAGGTGCAGGTGGTGGGTCTGTCTCTTGGTCAGCATGGCACACGGCAGAGAATAGTCAAAGACGCACAACGAGCAAGATGGTACGGTCTTTCACCAAGTCACCCTTGAAGAGATGGTCGATGATCCACCTGGAAGTGAGAGTGTCCAAAGCCGAGAAGATGTCTACCAGTTCTTAGCATAGTATAACGGAAGAGTGGGAGCAACTCACCATCAAGAAGTACCACAGCCGACTTGCTGTAGATGGCTCTCGCCAACGTGATTCTCGCCTTTTGCCCTCCACTCAAAGTGATTCCCTTCTCTCCGACCTCAGTTTCATCCCCGTCCTCAAACAGCTTCATGTCCGTCTCCAATCCACACGCCCTCACGACCTTCTCATAACGGGACTGGTCAAATGGCGAGCCAAAGAGGATATTGTCCCGGACAGAATCTGATGAACACCAGCTTTCTTGGGCAGCATAAGAGACTCCACCTTCACGAGGGAGATTGTAGAATGCCCCGTCTCTTTGGTGGAAATGGAGTTCACCGATAAGAGACTTGAGCAAGGAACTCTTTCCGCTCCCAGTCGGACCAGTGATCAAGTTGACCTTGCCTTTGGTGAAGGTAGCGTCTTCGATGCGGAGCTTGAACGTCTCATCGTTGATCTTTTCTGTTTGGCTTTCCCAGGAGAAAGTCGCATCGACGAGTCGGATGAGGCCTTCTTCTTGCGCTTGGAGCTGAGGTTGAGTGACAATGTTTGTCATCGTGCCTTGAGAGTACTCGTCAATCATTTCGCTCTGCCGGCGAGTCAGCGCGAACTCGTATTCGAGTTTCAGGACGTACCTCGTGCAGGAACTTGTCCAGTCGCTGGACAGAGACCCAAGCGGTAACACTCTCGTTGATCAGCCAGAAGCACTTGTGAAGCAAATCAGCACGTGTCCACTTTTGACCAAGTGAGACTCACCATTCCAGTGTGTCCCTTGATGATTTCAAATACAGTCATACTGGTAAAGACTGCATCACCGTCAGCCTAGTCATCGACGAGATATAGGACGTACCCTTGGAAGCAGTGAGCTCTTCCTTTTCAATCAGAGTATAGACGGCAAAAGTGACGGCCATAGTCAAAACAGGCAGAAGTGTATTGAGCAAGATGATCGCCCTGCCAAGTATCAGTCATGATCCGCATCACATGCACGCGACTCACAGGTTCATCAATCTCCTCTTCCAGATGAGATGTAGCTCGTCCTCTCGCTTTGCAGCAACTCTCTCCTTGATCCTCCCTTCCCAGCCAAACATCTTGATGATCCTGAGCGCATTGATAGACTCGGTAATCGAGTCCACACGAGAGTCGGTGGCAAGCATTCGCTGTTGCTGGTACTCGGCATTGTACTTTGTGAGGAGACCAGGAAGGGGCAGGGTGATGAACATGGTGAGCATACCGACGAGAGAACCTGTGCAGATGTAAGTGAAGGATACTTTTGGATAAGAAGTCACGCACTCCAGCTCAGGATTTTATAGAGCAAGACAACGCACAGCGCGAACTGCACAGGGGTGTACACAAAGATCAAAGCGAGGTCACGTCCTTCGCCAACAGCTTCGATATCGGCAGCCATCAGGACGTTGATCTTGCCCGCCAGCCCTTGACCCTTGCTCTTCTTTGCTTCAGCGTCGGCAGCAGCTTTCCTGTCTGTCTTGTCTTTTCCAGTCCCGGACTCTGCGGGAGTAGCAGTCTCAGCCTCGGCGGCAATAAGACCTCGAGGAGCGTCGGGAGCATGGTCGACCTCTTCCACAGTGATAAGCGGTCCAGCGCTCTCCTTGACCTCCTCTTCCTCCTCCTTTTCATCGTCCACCTGATCCTTCATTCTCAATCTCAGCGAATGGTCAAACAGCAATTGCGTCAAAAGCGCTTCCGCCCTGACCAAGCATCTAGTCGCGGTGAAGATGTAGAGCTCCATGAACAACGAGCTCAGCGTAGGACCCATGAACAGAAAGACGACCCAGACGATGGGGCGGACATTGTGTCCCTTTCCATCAGTCTCGAGATAATCGAGAAGTTGGTTGATACCGACCGAAGAAGAGAGTTCGAAAGCGCCAGAGAAAGCGGAGAGGGCGCAGGTGATCATGACTTCGCGGCGGAAGACGGAGACGAGACTGAGGACGAGTCCGCGGTCTTTGAGGCCTTGAGCCCGGCGTTTGACGGGGTCGAGGGTTGCCATAGAGGTCTGCGAAAGCGTCAGGTTTGTCATACAGGAGATGACTGCAACGTACTTTGTAGAGGTACGAAGCTCGATCATAGTCTGCCAGAGGATGAAGATCATCATAAGGCAAAGCAGGTGTCTTCCAAGCCTTCCATACCAAGCTGGTCATATAGTCGAAAAGCAGATAGGAAAGCAGAGGCGCCGTCTGCTCCGGATGCACCTCATTCAACGGTGTGGGGTTCGAGGGGTCCACTGGGGTATACGTTCTCGGTCGGATGAGGGGTATCACCACAGCCGCAAATGAGAGTATGACCACGCGGGACCAGGTGATGGCATTGTGGATATCAGCCGGCTCGAGATGGAATGTCAAGAGCGGCCAGATATCCCTATACGCATACACTCCGAAAGCCAGGCACAGCAGCACGTCCAAGTGCGCTATGAGATGTCGGCGAAGGGGTGTTCCAGGTCGAAGGGTGAGAAGGAGGAAAGAAAGCGCGAGGGAGTAGAGGTAGAGGCCAGAGACACCGAATTCTCCCCACTCGAGGCTTGAATAGTCGTCAACGGTGTGGTGATGGTTGCCTTTCTTCTTCCTCTTTAGTGACCCTACCATGCCTCCTTCCAGACCGGGCTCTTGGGGAGATTCGGCTTGGATGGTAGCATAGACGCTTAGGCCGAACAACGCACACAAGCTCAGCGTCCGAAAGATCTCGAGCGCAAACAGCACCGAGCCGTACTCCTTCATCGACCTCACGTGGTTCTTCAAGTCTGAGAGCAAACCCCCAGAAGGCATCTGGGGAACAGTTTCAGGTATCTCGACAGCGACAGTGTCCACATCAAGCTCATCGTCGTGGGCAAGGATAGGTTGGTATCCCTTGCCGAATTTTTTGGAGACGTAGCGGTATAGCTTGGGTATAGACCAGGAGATGAAGAGGATAATTATTGATAGGATGGCGAAGCAGGGGAATAGGAAAAGACTGTGTCGGAACAGGAGCGGAGGAGGGCTATACAAGTGTCAGCTTGAGTATATCAGGCCGGACAGAGTACTGACTGAGTTTTGTTCTTTGCAATATCGACGAGGGACGATGGCACTGCCGCAAAAGTAGCTTGTGCGCTCTCCGGGGCCATGATACTATACACAGGCTATGCACTAACGAGGATGCTGAGAGGATAGACAGAGACTAATAGACCGTCGATAACTCGTTTGGCAGCGAATTGCGACCCTGGAGCACCACGCGGATCCGTGGCAAATATTCAGCCAGGCACAGAGCGGGTTGCCGAGCGGTCCATCTTCGGGCTGCACCAGAGCAAGGATGTGTGCGATGTCGTCCGAGCGATTTCCTGCAACGGGTATGCATCTGCCTTGCTGGGATCGATCGTGAATGCTACGCGATACCTGGGTCACGCTCAGAGTCCGCTCATGTCCTCGAACAGGGACGGAGGGGGACTGATCGCTTCATGTCAGTGACATATGATACATGCCAATACAGCCCTATAGTGATCACAGCCTGCCAGTCTACAGCCTCGTCTGCTCTGACGGTTCCAGCCGCCCAGACTCCTGATCTCTGATCCTCGGCGTCCGTTTTTCAAGCTCCAGTTCCTCCCCAGACTCTCCCGCTGACTCGGGTCTCAACAAAGGCGACCGTCCCCCGAGCGTACTCGTATCATCCTCCACCACTTTCGGGTGAGCAGGGGAGGCTTCATCGAAAGGCGAGTCAAACGGATTATGAAAGCTTCCGGCTGCAGGCGGAGGGTCGTAGAGCTTGCCCTTGCCCTTGCCCTCATAGTCATCCCCCGAACCCGCACTCGAAAAGCTGCCTTTGTGCGGCGAGAAGCTAGGTCTTCGCTGAACACTCCTAAGCGGCCAAGCAGCCTCCCCAGGCTCTTCCGGCATGTCCACGCCCAAATCGCCATAACCCTCTTTCCTCGGCGTTCCTCTTCCACTCGAAGCTGCCGAATCCAGCGGCAGATCCCACTCGGAGCTTTTGTGTCGACTGTACATAGGTCGAGCAAAGGAAGATCCAGATGTAGCTGTGGGGGTGTCGTTCATCTGCGAGGCGGAAGGGCCGACGGCGTATGGGTCGCTGGAAGGACGGGATATGGAGAGGGATGGGAGAGTGGGTTTGGTTCGAGGGGCGGGGTGGAAAGCTTGCTTGGGAAGACGTTTTTTGTAGCGGTTGCGGAGATAGAGTCCTGCCAGGGTCGCAATAATGACAAAAGCGGCAACGCCCTGTGACAAAAAGTCAGATCTGTGGCTCGACAACCGCGCTTGTGGCCTTACCGATATCAGACCGATGAAACCTCCTGTGGACCCAGCGCTATGCAAGGTCAGTCGTTGCGTGCATGGGGAAGGGGTTTACTTGCATTTCAGGCTGACTGCCCTTGCCATGCCAGCGACTGTACGTGCTAGATGGGGGACCTGCACCGTACTATAAATAGGCACCGTGAATATCAGTCTGTTGGATAGTCCCGAGGCAAGCTCTTGAGATGTGCTTACAGAAGTTGGCGCTGTATGATTATTATCAGCAATGGAATATTGAAAGCAGGAAAGACACTTACAGGAAGCTGTGGTAGTGATACCGTAACCCGAACCGCCTCGTTTTTGGTAGCGTACTGCGCTCTCGCCTGTAGACCACCGTAGAATCATGCTGGTTCTTGGCTTTCGCTGAGAATTCTGCCAATGTTGCTAGAGCTGGCTTCCTGGTGGATAAATGGAGAGAAAAGGAGAGCGCGTGGAACGAATATGTTCACGCGTGAACTGTCGTTGCTTCCCAACGTCATTCTTCGGCGACCACCGACTTTTACAAACGGAAGGTAGTTTGCTTCCGCTATACGCCCCTTCAGTCGTATGTGATGCGGAAGAGAGACTATGAGAATTTATTGGACAATAGATACGTCGGGAGCACCGTGTGGCCATCAACGAGCTAGGCGACCTAAGCGTGGTCGGCGACAAGAGGCCCGAGAGGTTAGAGGAGTCACTAAACATCCGAAAGACATCTGATGCCGTCGGCTCAACTCAGTCATCGGGTATCAACCAACGATCACTCACCCAGCCCACACCGGACTTCAAGCGGGTTGCTCAGCATGACAGAGCTAGTACCGAGCCTCGAGGACATTGTCCTTCGTATACATACGCTAGACTGGTCCCCCACCACGCCGGTATCGATGATAAGGTGACGCTATTCACGCGCACTCGAGGTGGATTACAGTTTCTGTGTGTTTGACGCGATGTACATGGAGTTTCTCGTGCACATTGTTACCGGTCGGCACGGAACGTTGTGGATCGTCGAATCTAGGAAGACTCGACGCCTGGAAACATTGGGGCTGCCAGAGCGCAGTAGTCATCTGGTTTGTGAAACATGAACTATTTAGAAGGAAAGGTTGAAATTGGGGTGGGTGGACAGTCCCAGGAGATCATATGGCTTCTCAAACACCGGTCGGTTGCGAGGCGAGTGGTACACCTCGGTGAGGGCTCGCTAATACGAGCACAGTTCAGAGTCTCCTCTTGGTATGATGCATGCAGTGCAGTAACCGACGATATGCTATAAACTGCTGCGTTTGAACGAACCACACAAAGAACAGCAGAGCATGAGGTAAGTCGAGGCACGAAGGGACAGAGGCCACGGGGGTGTATTTTGCTTCGACGGCTTGCCGTTGTCTGCCGAGTACTTCTCGGGCTGTCCTGCCCCGTCCGCGACACCTTCGCGAGGAGAGTCGGGATCTGCTTACGACCAGAATGACACAGGGAGATCGACCACCCTGATTCTCACGTCTAAAGGATACATATACGTGACCGGGACAGCGCAGTGTACTTCGGGCGCTTGTTCGCTTGCTGACGTTGCACCGGTGATTGAGCAGCGTGGTGGAAAGGACCCGGGCGATCAGCGATGGCCAGTGAGTCACTGCCGCAAACAAACATTCTTGTGAGAAGAAGCAACACCCGTCCGTGCACATGCACCCGCCTATCGTCATACATATAACATCCACACATCTTTTCTTTTTTTTTCGCATCCTCATCTCCTACAGAGAGAATATAAATTCGTCATGCGCTTCCCATTTCGCCGCCCATCCTCCTCATCCGGATCCAGGTCCTCCCCCATGTCTCCCATCTCACCTATCGCGCCCCCTATCCTCTCCTTCGACTCGCCTCATGGAGAGCAGCTGCTTGGTGTCCCGTTTGGCGCCCCTTCTGCTATCGCTGGTATTGACCAGATCCAGCGGTGAGTGTTAAATGCTGAATCGAGCAGCACTGACGCACTACAGGATGCGAGACCAGGACGCTATGCACCACCTGATGGTCGAGCCGACACATTCCAAGTACATACACTCGCACCTCGCTAAAGTGCACGCGTCTGGGCGACGGAGCGCGGTGCTGGATATTGGCAGTGTAAGTGATGAGTGACGCCCTGTTTGCTGGAATCAGCCACTAACACCTCCTTTCTCTTCAGGGCACAGGCAAGTCGCATACCTTTCCCGCACAGGGCACCTCATTCCGGCTCAGCTAACCTCCGCATTATCATCTACAAACACCTTTCCGCTCGCCCTCATCGATCAATCACAATATGCTGTACTCCGCTTTCCACGGCCCCGTCGTTCTCGGATGTGGCATCAAGCAGGCAGTTGGGCGACCGCACTTGCCAACAAGGAACCCTTCGCCGACGTCGTCGCCATAGCGTAAGCCGCACCGTAATAATCCACCGCCCATGCTTAGCATTGGAGTAGTGCCGACTGGAAACCCTTTGTGCGTCAGCGAATCATACATGGCAACCTCGACGTCATGACCGTGGATATCAACCAACATCTGCCGTACCCTGCTGGCTCTTTCGGTAAGCGCTTATCAGCTGCGGCAATCTAGAAAGACACACCGACCTTGCTGCACCAGATATCATCCAAGTCAAGTCGCTTGCCCGCTCACACCGCCAATATCCCATTCTCGTCGAAAGGCTCATCCGACTCCTCCGTCGCGGCGGGCTGCTTATTCTCGTCGAGAGTCATACTTGCTACGTGGGATTTCCAATCTCGTGCCATGGAATAAGCTGATAGAGGAGGCAATAGGAAAACCCAACGGGAATGGGTTTGCCGACTTGTTTGAGGACTTGGGATGCAAGTGTAAGGTCGGCCTTGGCTGCTCAGGGATGTAAGTCTTCTCTTCTATTTCAATATGCTCGCGCTTACCTTGCCGCTCCAGACGATGCGAGGATGGCTAGCAAGCTACCTTTCCTTGTCAGAGGTGCTGGTGTTTTGTACGTCGCCCTATGAACGAAAGGATGGCACTTACAGAGGTCATAGCGGCAATACTGCTTTCGTCCAAGAGATCGGTATCCCCACGACCAGCTATCCTCAGCAAGGTAGGTATTTTCTCTCTCCATTGAGCGAAAGCCGACTCTAAGACTAGGCATGAACAATATCGCCCAAGCCGGTGCTCTCCACGCCCGCACGCTCCCCGCCGAAATGTCTTCCTTCATGCCGCTCTTGAGGCAGCATGGATACGACGAGAGAGCCATTCAAGCGATGATTGATGAGTGCCTGCATTGTGTGAGTACCATCCCAAGATTGAGAATGGGAGACGAAAGAGGCTGATGGGAAAACAGTTGCTCAATCCGCAAGCCCGATTCTTGCAGAGACTCGTGGCGGTGTATGCCTTCAAGATGGTCTGACACACCGCAACCTTTTCAGCGCCTCACCCTTTCCTTCCACACGTCGCAAGCCAGCAACAAAATGTCGCATATCACGCCCCAGCCCTCGCTATCCTCTACACGCATTGCCAGAAGCCCATTGCGGTTGTTGTAACATTTCGTCATTTGTATACATCCTTCCACTTTCCCCTATATACTTTACACACACCATCTGTGTTTACAGACAGACACTTTTCTCATCACATATACTCATAGCTGGGCCGGGAGCTCAGTATAGACAGCATTGTCTAGTGTCATAGCATTTTCATGACGACCCACAAAAGTACAAATCATTCTTTGGGCTCACGGCGTATTCGTACAGCCGAGCTATAATATACACGACCCTATTTTCCCTTTCATTCTTATACCATACTTCATTACTCTTCTTCCCGTTCATAGTCCATAATACACGATGGAAGCATGACATGAACAGAAGCGATCAAGGGCTGTTACAACATTGGTGCATGTGGTGATGACGCTACGCTGCTCACAAGCCTCCTCTTCTTCCTGCTTCTGTCTCTGCCTCACTAGATCCTTCTATGTTGTTGCTCGGATTGATGAATGGTGAGATTGCAGTTGACGGAAAGATTATCTGATCCTCTTTCCCAAAAGTCCCTCAACCTCGGCTTCGGGTGTATGATGGATGACAGCTCTTCCAGGGTATGCCGCGCGCGAGGAGGGGACATCGACGATAAGCGATAGGAGCTGGTAATGTCCATTTTCATCCTGGTATCTGTAAGCACAACAAGCCGGAACTAGAAAGGAGAAGCAAGCTTACCTTGACGTACTCTCCCCTAGCTTCACCAGTGGTATAAGTCCCAGCAGGGTCCGGTTCTCTCCCGATAATCCTGACTGAACTCGCCGCTGCTCGAAGGTTGAGCCCTCCAAGCCAGCTGAACCACCCTCCAGACTTTTTCTGCCCTGCTGCTTCTAGGTTTCGTCCTTCTTCTATCAAGTCTTCCTTGAAAGCTTCCTTTGCCAACCCTTCCGGCTCTTGCCCAACCAACCCCAAAGCCTCTACACTCTCCTTTGCATACGCCTTTGTGCTAACCCATGCTCTTCTCAGCCATCCCAGGGACAATTCTTCATCCTTGCCTCGGCCGTGCACCCAGAATGAGATAATGAGATGCTCCTTGCCAGAGGAAGGGTTGCGGACAGTGGTGGAACTGATGGAGGGGGTGCCGCGGACGGGAGAAGACGAGTGTGGAGAGTGGGTGAATTTGATGGGGGGTAGAAGGTACTGGTCCAGCTGCAGTACAAGTCAGCGTTTGCATGCACTTTGGATGAAGGAAAGCTTACGCCATCCGAAGCGCGAATCATATCGACCGCTGCAGCGTAAAGAACAGAAGGCGAGTTGCGAGCAAAGAGCTCGGTCGTGAGAGCCAGCGTCAAGACGACAAATAGAGTGCCACCAGCAATGATGACTGCCAAGTTTCCTGACTGGCGCACTGTTCGTACAACTGCCGCAATGTCGTCAGCATCACAGAGAGGCTTGATGAATGATGGAGACGTACGCTTCCCGCCCAGACCTAGTTCTCGCCAAGTCCTCCAAGGCTTACTCCTCCCACCAGCACCTACTCCCAGTGGAAAAGGTCCAGCATGGTCCTGCTCTCCAGCACCAGCTCCAGCGGTGCTGCCCTTATTGAGAAGTTCGGCAGTAGCTTGAGACTGAGCGTGTGCCGCGGCCGACGAGCGAGGGGTCGAGTATAACCGTTGGGCAAAAGATGTCGGTCTGAGAAGCGAGGGGCGGGGTGCTGCGAGGGAGAGGACGATCCTGAGTGGGGTGACTTTGCTCATGGCTGAATTCTGCGAAGAAAGACGACTTTTGAGTTGAGAAACCCTTCGGCTCGTCATGAACCCGGGATCGGCGGGCGCCGCTGTGATTTGATCCCGCTACACGCTTTCGTTCTCCCACATTCTTCGCGTCGAGCCCTCTCTGATCCCATAAAATCTTACCGCAAAAATGGCCTCTACGATGTACCAACGCGACCCCAGGGCGGTACGTGCATTCTAGGGGGGGTGACTTGCGACTGACAGGAACTGCAGGGGCTCTTTTTGGGCGGTTCGAGGACCAGCGGCGCCGAAGTTCGGGATGCCAACGGTATGTCCAGCAACAGCTCAGAAGTGTATCTTTTGCTGACGGGTATCATAGTGGCTGCTTGCCAGACCGTTTCCAACGTACTCAAGTCTTCGCTGGGTCCTGTCGGGTATGTTGCCTGAGATAAATCCATTTGAGGTCGTGCTGATGTTCCGGCAGTCTCGACAAGATGCTTGTGGACAATGTCGGAGACGTCACCATCACCAATGACGGTGCCACCATCCTCTCCCTCCTGGAAGTCGAGCACCCCGCTGTATGTGCACTCAGCCTCAAAAGATTTTGAAGCTGATAAATGCAGGCCCGAGTTCTCGTTTCTCTCGCTACCCAGCAAGACAAGGAGGTCGGTGACGGTACCACCTCTGTCGTCCTCCTTGCTTCCGAGCTCCTGAAACGTGCCAACGAGCTTGTGCGGAATAAGATTCACCCCACCACTGTCATTACTGGTTACAGGTATGTCATCCTTATCCGCCTTATACAATTGCTGATTCAGATACAGACTCGCCTGTAAGGAGGCATGTCGATTCATGGCCGAGCAACTCTCCACCAAGGTCGACAAGATTGGCAAGGACTCTCTCGTCAACGTCGCTAAAACTTCCATGAGCTCCAAGATCCTTGCTGCCGACGACGACTTTTTCGCTCCCCTCGTCGTCGACTCCATGCTCGCTGTCAAGACCATCAACGCCAAGGGCGAGGCCAAGTACCCCGTCAAGGCTGTCAACGTGTTGAAGGCTCACGGTAAATCCGCGCGAGAGTCTATTGGTGTCAAGGGTTACGCTTTGAACTGTACCGTTGCGAGTCACGCTATGAAGACCAGGATCCAGGGCGCCAAGATTGCGTGTCTCGACATGAACCTCGCCAAGCAGCGAATGCACCTCGGTGTTCACATCACCATCGACGACCCCGACCAGCTCGAGGCTATCCGTGCTAGGGAGAGCGACATCACCCTCGAGCGAGTGCGCAAGATCCTCGCGACCGGCGCGAACGTTATCCTTACTACCAAGGGTATTGATGACCTCTGTTTGAAGGAGTTTGTCGAGGCTGGTGCGATGGCCGTGAGGAGATGCAGGAAAGAGGATCTGAGGCGAATTGCCAAGGCGACTGGCGCCAGCCTTGTCTCCTCCCTCGCCAACCTCGAGGGTGAGGAGACATTCGAGGCTTCCAGCTTGGGTTACGCCGAGGAGGTCGTGCAGGAGAGGATCAGTGACGATGAGCTCATCCTCGTCAAGGGTACCAAGATGGTCAACTCTAGCTCCATCATCCTGAGAGGTGCCAACGACTACATGCTGGACGAGATGGAGAGGGCTTTGCACGACGCGCTGTCAATCGTCAAGAGGACTTTGGAGAGCGGAAGCGTCGTGCCCGGTGGTGGTGCTGTGGAGACTGCTCTGTCTATCTACCTGGAAAACTTTGCTACCACCCTTGTGCGTCCTCCCTCTTCATTCGGAATGTAGCTGACAGACTTTAGGGTTCCCGAGAACAACTCGCCATCGCGGAGTTTGCCAACGCCCTCCTCACCATCCCTAAAACCCTCGCTCTCAACGCCGCTAAGGACTCTACCGACCTCGTCGCCAAGCTCCGTGCCTACCACAATGCGGCTCAGAACGCTCCCTTGAACGACCCCAAGCGTGGGCTCATGTTCTACGGTCTCGACTTGATCAATGGCGAGGTCATCGACAACAAGCAGGCGGGTGTGTTGGAGCCGACGATAAGTAAGATCAAGAGTTTGAAGAGTGCTTTGGAGGCAGCGACGAGTCTGTTGAGGATAGACGACAGTATACAGGTGGCGCCTGAGCAGAAGCCGGAGGTCGATGAGCACGGCCACTAGAGGGCAGAGATTGTGTAGTTAATAGGGAACTTGTTTACACCTTTTGCATTGATTGACTAGCATATCCTGCCTCTGCTGCATTGCCTTCTGATGATCACCCTGGCTCTGTACATCACTTACATGGCGCATCTCGTTGTCATCAGCGCCTCGGGAGCCCGCATCCCCACTCGGCGAGATCCGCCTGATATTTCGGCCGCCTCTTGACAGCATCTCTCTTCCTCTTCTCAACGATATTCTGCAATGCCTGGCCCTGCCCCCTCCGCACACCAAGTGCTCGTCTACTCCGGCCCAGGCGTGTCCCCCCTCTCCCTCTCCCACACCCTCCTCACCCTCCGCCTCATCCTTCTTCCCCACTACACCGTCCAGCCAGTCACCCCCGACATCCTCTACTCTCAGCCATGGGAGCCCTCTTGTGCTTTGCTCGTCATTCCAGGGGGTAGGGATTTGCCCTTCGTTGAAGCCCTGACAGAGCAGAGGGCAGTGACAGAGAAGATCAGAGAGTATGTCCAGGAAGGCGGGCGATACTTGGGCCTGTGTGCTGGTGCGTACTTTGCCTGTGAACAGGTCACATTCGACGTCGGGGGAGGCTTGGAAGTATGCGGCAAGAGGGACCTTGTGAGTGACTGTTACTATGGTGAGGAGCTTGTCTGACTTTGTGAAGGGCTTCTTCCCCGGACCCTGCGTCGGGCCCGTCTTTGAAGGGTTCGAATACGCCTCTGAAGCCGGATCGCGAGCTCTTACTCTGAACCTGGCAACTGGTTCTCGAGAGGTCCACCATATATACTATAATGGCGGTGGACACTTTGCACTTTCTTCGCCGGCTCCTGCCAATGTCGAGGTCCTCGCGCGATTCAGCTATCCCGCCTCGTCTCCGGTATCTGAACAACGCATAGCGGTAGTTTTGACTAAGAACGGCAAGGGTCTCACGTTGTTAGCCTCTGTGCACCCAGAATACCCGCTGTCAGACCCACCTGCAAGCAATGCTATCGAAAAACTTGATGTCCACCTGACCAAAGAGGAACTCGAGGTGAGCGACAAGGCGAGAGTAGCTTGGTTTAC